AGCCAGCTGAAGGCTCAGGGCGAAGGGGCTGCCAAGACTCAAGCTGACCTTGAGGCAGCCCGAAAGTTGCTAAAAGTCAAAATCTACACCCAAGATGAATATGACAAGGGTTTTGACAACAGCTTCCAGACAGCTCGGCACCTTGCTTTCCATGCCGATCCCAACATTAACTGGAACGAAGCCGAGGAATGGTCCATGGATCCTAACGACCCGTATCTGCATTATGGCCCATCCTACCGAGGTTGCTTTTTTTGGCTCGTCAGGTTGAAGCCGAAGCCCGAGCAAAGAAGGAATCTATGAGTTCGCTGACTACATAATTTATGGAGTTTCGGCTTTCTCTTTTCTCTTCTTTTATTTGAGGAATCTATGAGTTCGCTGCTCAAAAGTCTTGGACTCCAAGAGCAGCATCTCTCGATTCTTAAAAATTTCTCTTAGGGAATGACTATCCAAAGCACAAGGCCATCATTCTGGCAATGTTTCAGATGTAACTCCTCTGAAGCACAATGCCAATGTTTAGGCTATACCTCAGATTAGTCCACGACCTCTTTGCCCCCAGGACTAACTCATCCGAAGTACAATACCAACAAGTGGCTATAGTTCGGGGGTAAAGTCATTATCCTCTATTAGGCTGGTTCCTCGGCAATCCGAAGCGCGAAGCCCCTGTTAGGCTACACTCAGGACAGTGCCGAGGTAAACCTTTTTTTCAAAAATTTAAAGAAGACAGAGAATAGCAACTCGTAAATTTGGTGGAAATGGTGGCTCAAAGGTCTTTCATTAATTTGAAGATGCACATACATAGGTTGTTCCGCCCCAAAGGGTTTACACATGATATTTCTTAAGTACATCAGCATTCCAATGATTCTTCAGCTCAGTTCCATCCAACTGCCGAAGTCGGTATGTTCCGGGCTGAAGTTCATCATAAATTTCATAGGGGCCTTCCCATGAATGTGTCCTTTTTGCACAGCTGCAACATTCCGAAGAACAAGATCACCAATTTTGAGAAGTCTTGCATGAACTCTTGTGTTGTAAAATTTGCTGATCCTTTGCTTATATGCAGCCATTCTGTCTCGAGCCGAGTCCCAGATCTCGTCAAGAAATCGAGGGATTCTTTCATGAGTTGTTCATTTTCCTTGGCTGAGAACAGATTCATGGGCAAACTCTCTGTGCCAATTTCCACAGGTTGGACGGCTTCGAATCCATACACCAGCTTAAAAGGTGATTATCCCGTAGCCTCTTTTTCAGTTGTCCGAAGTGACCAGAGGGTTCCTCTGTCCACTTGGACTTTTGATCTTCAACCTCTTCTTGAGAGCATTGAGGATTTGCTTGTTTGCAGCTTCGGCTTGACCATTGCTCTGCGGATGACACATTGCCGAGTATGTCAACTTAATGCCGAACTGGTCTGTGTACCGCTTCCGCGGCAAATTATCAAATTGCTTTCCATGACCAAAGACAAGAGCCTTCGGAACCCCAAAGCGAATGATGATATTCTGACAGATAAATTTCCTTACAGTTTGCTCTGAGATGTTCGAGGCTGCCTCAGTCTCGATCCATTTGCTGAAATAGTCGATGCCGACTATCATCCATCTTTTTTGGGACAGGGCATCAGGAAAGGGTCCCAAGATGTCCAGCCCCCATTGGGCGAATGAAAGCAGATTCAGGATCGGCTGAAGATCTCAAGCTGATGGATGACTGGCGCAAATTTTTGACATTTCTCGCATTTTTTGTCCAGCTCCATAGCGTCTGAGATCATGGTGGGCCAATAATACCCTGCCCTTAATGCCTTATGGGCTAAAGCTCTCCCCCCGATGTGGTTTCAACAGATGCCAAGGTGGATCTCCCGAAGGATGTAGTCAGCATCTGTTGGTCCCACGCATTTTAGTAGTGGGGTTGAGAAAGATTTTTTCAGCAATTCTCCTTTAAAGACGATGAAACTTGAGCTGATTCGTTTCAGTTTGGAGGCCAAATTCCTGTCTTCGGGACATCTCCCCAAATCTTGTTAGCTAGGATGGGGTCCATCCAGCTTGGCTCTTGTGTGACGCAGCAAACCTCAGGCGCTTCGTCCACACTTCTTTCTCGGTGCACCTCCACATATAGATCGGTTCAGCTCAGTTAAAGTTGAACTTGCAAGTTTGGAGAGTGCATCGGCTTGTGCGTTCTGACCCCTTGGGATCAGCTCGACTTCAATAGTTCTTCACTTCGCAATAACTGTTTTGATCTTTGCGAGATAAGCTATCATTGAGGGCTCTTTGGCCTTATATTCGCCTCGAATCTAATTTGCGACAAGCTGAGAGTTTGTCTGTAGACAGACATGCTCGGCTTCCAATGTTATGCACAGCTTTAAGCCTGTGATTGCTGCTTCATATTTAGCTTCGTTGTTTGAAGCTTTGAATGAGAATTTCAGTGCATACTCAAAGGACTTGCCTTCGGGCGAGGTTATGACTACCCCTGCCACTGAACCATTTATGGTGGAGGATCCATCCGTGAAAACAGTCCAAACTTTCTTTTCCTCGTCTAGTGTCTCCTGGTAAGAACACTTGGCCAAGAAGTTCGCTAAGGCCTGAGCCTTGATGGCTGTTCTCGGCTGGTAGCTGATGCTGAACTCAGTGAGCTCTAAGGCCTACTTTGCTAGCCTACCAGATTTTTCAACTTTGCCGAGGACTTTTTCCAGCGGATGATCAGTCAAGACCATTATTTAATGGCAGTCAAAATAGGGCCTCAGCTTCCGAGCGGCTACCACCACAACATATGCAACTTTCTCGAGTAGGGGGTAGCGAGTTTTGGCATCCGTCAGAGTGTGACTGACGAAGTAGATCGGCTGCTGAACTTTGTTCTTCTTCTCTCAACAAAACCGCGCTTATAGTGGTCGGGCTAACTGCCATATATAAGTACAAAGTTTCTTCTTCGGCTGAGCGTGCCAGCGTCGATAGTTAAGCCAGATGTTCACGAACTGCTTAAAGGCTTCTTTTTGCTCACCTTCCCAGATGAGCTCCATGGTTTTTGGGAGTTTCAGCGCTTTGAAGAAGGGCAACCCCTTGTCCGAGGCTCTGGAGATGAACCTGGATAGGGCAGCCAATCTCCCGGTGAGACGCTAAACGTCCCTCTTTGTTCTCGGCTCGGGAAAGTCGAGCGCCGCCTGCACTTTGGCGGGATTGGCATCAATCCCCCTTTTGCTGACCATGAAGCCGAGGAACTTGCCTGACTTCACGTCGAAGACACACTTTTTCGGATTCAGGTTCATTTAGGGTCCGTTTGGTAGGGTGTAAAACATTTTCAATGTAAAATGATTTTCCATAAAAATCATTTTACAATGGAAAACTCATTTTCAAAAAAGTTTTCCGTTGTTTGGTTGAATGGAAAATGATTTTCCATTTTAAGCATTTTCCATTGTTTGGTTGAACTGAAAATTCAATTGTGAGGGAAAATGTTTTCCCTCCACTTGTGATGGAAAATGTTTCCCTCCACTTGTAATGGAAAATGTTTTCCTTCTAAATTGGGGGGAAAATGTTTTCAATAAGGTGGAAAATGATTTTCCACCCCAAGTTTTACTTTTTAATGTTTTACACCAAACCAAACAATGTAAAATGGGAAAACACTTTTCAGTGAAAATGTTTTACGCCCTACCAAACGGAGCCTTAGTGTTTCCTTAGGGTGGTGAAGGTCTCAGCCAAGTCTGCGACATGGTCTTTGTCCTCTTTTCTTTTGACGATTGAATCGTCAACATAGACTTCCATGTTGCAGCCTTTTTGCTCGGCGAAGACCTGATCAACCAGCCATTGCCCCCACATTTTTCAATCCGAAGGGCATCATTTTGTAATTATACACCCTGGCGCTTATAACAAAGGCCATTTTTGCTCGGTCGTCGGGGTGCATGAAGATATGGTGATACCCCAAGAATGTGTCCATGAAACTAAGCAGGGCATGCCCACTTGTCGAGTCGACAAGCTTATTGATCCTCGGTAAGGGATAAAAGTCCTTTGGACAGTCCCTATTTAGGTCCATGAAATCAAAGCACATTCTCCAGGTGCCATTTGCCTTCTGAACCATCACCACATTGGCCAGCCATTCCGAATACTGACAGGGTTCAATGAAACCTGCGTCCAGGAGTTTTTTTACTTCGCCTACGATGTCTCGGTTCTTATTTGCGAGTAATTCCGCTTCTTTTGCTTAATCGGTCGACAGGTGGGGTCAACATTAAGCTTGTGAGAGATGAGGTTCGAATCAATCTCGGGCATGTCCGCTGCCGAGAAAACGAACACATCTTTGTTGTCCCGAAGAAGTTGGATAAGCTCAACATGTACGTTCGGATGGAGTCCAAGCCGATGCTGACACATTTTTCAGGGTCTCCCTCAGTCAACTCTATTGACTCAGTCTGCTGGTCCAGCTCCATTGCTTTGGCACTGGACTCTTCACAATCTGGCCTGCTGTCAATATCAGTAAGCTTCCCAGACTTTGCTGGTGTTCTGAGTCTTTCGGCTCAGATGAGGAACCAACTTTTTCTTTCCCCTAAGATCTTTCTCGAGCTGGGGCGCCTTGGGCCAAAGCACTTAAGCCTTTAGGATTCTTTGTGCATCGGTCTTTTTCTCTTTCTTTTTCCTCATCATCCTTGTCGTCGCGACGAATTTTGGATGGGTTGAGGTAGTTGCATCTTCGGGCCTCCATTTGGGAATTCTTTCGGAGTGACTCTCGTCTGAAACGTATATGATCATTTGATGGTATGTTGAGACTACTCCTTGGATCTCGTGAATTATAGGTCTCCCCATAATCACATTGTATACAGACGGAACGTCCACGACCAAAAATTCGGCAATGATGTTTCGGGCTGCTCGGTCTCTGCCGATGGTGACAGGAAGGGTAATTTTCCCGTCCGGATATGTTGTAGACCCATTGAATCCAGATACCGGGTAGGGTACCAGAGTCAGGTGCTTGGTCTTCAACTTCAGCTGGTCATAAGCCTCTTAGAAAAGGATATTCGCGCCACTTCCGCTGTCGACGAGAGTTCGCTAGACGTTGTGGTTTGCGATCCCTGTGACGATTACTAGAGGGTCATCTTGGGGGTATACCACCCCCCGGAAGTCTTCGATTGTGAACGTAAAGTTTGGCACCAGAGACTGGGGTGCTCGGTTCACTTGATGGGTTAAGCCCCTCAAATGACGTTTTCGTGCTTTCCGAGAGCTTGTTCCTCCGGAAATGACAAGGATGTCAGGATTGTCTTTGTCCTGCAACTTGTCTTTTTTACGGGGGAAATCCAGTTCTTGCTGAGAATCTTTCTCGGCTTTTTTTACTTCGCAGCGATCCGCGAGATATTTTTTCAAGTAACCTTTTCGGACCATGTCCTCAATTTGATCCCTCACCTGGATACAGTCCTCGGTGTGATGTCCAGGAGATTCATGGAATTTACACCATCGGTCCTTGTTTTTCTGCTGATGCCACAATGGCAGTGGCCTCAGCTTCTTGTACTTCTGCTCGTCCTTTGTTATGCTGTAGATCTTAGTACGTGGAAGGGCGAGAGGAGTGTATGATTCGTATTTCCCCTCAAATGGGGTTTTTTCTTTCTTCAGCTCGGAAGCCGAGGATGGTTCTGAGCTTTCTCTTTCCCTTTCCTCTGGCTTTTGGACTGCTGTCCTTTTGTCTTCCCAGCCCCGGATTGAGACTAGAATTTGGTTTTGTTCCATTCGTTGGCTCAGATGTATTTATCGGAAACATCCAGAGCTTCCTCCAAGATCTGCGGGGGATGCATGACCATGAAGTCAAGGAACTTTCCAGCTTGCGGCCCGTTTCCCAGTGCAAAAACGGCTAGCCCTTAATCTAGACTTGTAATTCTGGACGACTCGTTACTGAAGTGAGTCAGATAGTCTCGGAGGCTCTCGTCCTCCCCTTGCTGCAGACTCATCAGTTTTGCAATTGTCCTCTCCCGGCGGTTCGCCATAGAAAACTTGCTCTTGAACTTGTTGGAAAGGTCTTTCCAACCGGTTATCGAGCCTTCCTTTACTCCCTTGGTGATCCACGCTTGTGAAACACCTTTAAGAGTGGTCGTGAAATATTTGCACCAGGTCGCTTCGGACCTAGGGTTCAGATACATGTGCCCCTCGTAAGAGGCAATGTGGTCCTTCGGATCCGAAGTACCGTCATAAGTTATTTGTGCCGGAATTTTCACCGTCGGCACATGCTCTTCCAAAATCCAGCTTTGGAAGGGCGAGCTGGTGGGAACCATCACGACCTTTCTCCTATGTCTAGCCAACGAGACCTCGCTCTTCCCTCTCAGAGAGGTTGAAGTGGTTTTCGTTCTCGGTTGGGACGATTTGGGACAAGGCTCAATTCCCTCGGGGTAGGTAAGGCGACTGTGCATGCTCACTACCTCCCTTGAGCTGAGACGTTCGTGAACGTTTCGGCGAGCAGGCTCTTGCCACGCGGAGGTGGTGTTGCTGCTTTTATAGCTTCGGGAGTTTTGGGTTTCGAAATTTTCGAAGAATTGAGGGTTCTTTTTCCTCACCCGCTCAGTACTCCAAGTGTCCTCCTCCCATTTATCCCCGAGCTCCTTGAAGGATGGAGCTCGTCCACTTTCCTCTTGGCCGGTCCTCCTTCTCAAGTTTCTCGGCGGAAGAGGCAAGTGGTCACGGGATGGTGGAAAGTTGCTTCCTTGGGCCTTCATGAGGTCCATAAAGACCGCGACAACTCGTGCCACTTCCTCCGTAGACGGCCCCGTTTGAGGATTTGTTCTCTGCTGAGATCGAGAATGGAAACTTCGAGGAGGACTCTTAGCATTGGACTGACTTGGCCGATATGAGCTGGTCGACTGGCGAATATGATGGGATGGTGACCTCTCTGGCGCTGCCCTTTCCGGGGAAGAGGGAGCTTTCGAAGAAGAAGAAGAAGGTTCCGGTGATGGCGGAGCAAGTGTATTCCTTCTCACCGGAATTGGACCTTTCCTCGAAGAGGAAGGGTCGTTCTTTTTAGTACTCTTGGCCCTCTTACCACTCTTAGTCATTTTTGCTAAGATTGGCTGATTTTTGGCTTACTTTTGAATGTCTTCCCCAGAGACGGCGCCAAATTGTTTCGGATAAAAACAATAGGACCTTCGGTAAGGTCCTTTTCTGTGGGCTAAAGATTGATTTTGGTCCAAGTGATGAATGGGCCGAGGGTTTCCTGCACAACAAACACACGTAAACTGGCCTCGGGGGTTGTGTCGAGGATGGCCCCTTCGATGCCGAAGTCAATACAGTGTTTAGAGAGAGAAAGCTATGCAAGAGTATTAATTGATTGAGGCTTTAATTGAATGAATGTAGAGAGAGATGATTGAAGACTTTTATACCTTTGCTCAATAGATGAATGGACCTTAAATCAAGTGGGCTTGCCACGTTGACTGGGCCTTGATTGACTTGGCAATTATTTGGAGAGTTGAACCTTGCTTTGGGAGAGTTGAACCTTGCTTTGGGCTTTGTAATTAAATCATTTATGGACCGACCTAATTGAAGTAAATTGGACCCAACCACTGCCTAAACAATGAAGGACACCAATCATGATCAGACTCCTCCCCCTCCACCTCCACCTTCCAATGAGTTTCATCCTTCCTTGTCAGTGAACAACATCAAGAATGACATACCATTGATTCTTGATCGTGAGAAGGTACAATACTCCGATTGGGTTGAACTCTTTGAGATCCATTGTCACGCATATAATGTTCTTAACCATATTGACCCAAAGACCCCTAGACCCACCGATATCTCTAAGGCATTATGGAAACGGCTTGACTCGATTGTGAAAAAGTGGATATACGGTACTATCTCCACCGATCTTCTTGAAACTGTTCTTCATCGAGGTGCTACGGCTCAAGAAACTTGGGACCGAATTAAAGCGGTTTTTCAAGATAACAAACACACACGGGTTGTGTATCTTGAAAATCAGTTTAACAACCTACATCTCTCTAACTTTCCCGACATCACTACCTACTGCCAACAATTGAAGAGTTTGAAAGATCAACTTGCTAATGTTGATCAAGAAATTTCGGAGCAAAAACTTGTTTTGAGATTGGTTGCCGGTCTTGTGAAGACTGATTATGACACCGTCGCGACTATGATACAACAAACCGACCCTCTTCCATCATTTGAAATGGCGAGGTCTCGCCTTCTCCTTGAGGAATCTCGCAAGCAAACGATACCTCAACACCTCCTTTTTCCTTTGTTGCACAAACCGGAGATTCTTCCTCCACCACCACATCGCAACAAGGGGGCAGCCGTGGTGGCGGTCGCGGTCATGGTGGAGGTCGCGGCGATCGGGGTGGCAAAGCAGGTAGAGGTCGAGGAAGGGGTGCACCAAGAAATAATTCAAGCAACAACAATGGATAGCAGCAACAAAAAAATGCTGCCACATTTAATTGGGCCGGCCCAAACAACCCAGCTTGGTCACAACTATTGGCTGCACTCCAAGCAGTCCAAAAACAACGTAATTGGGCCACTCCTCTCTCACACTATCCAACAGCTGGGCTCATCCAACAGTCCAGACAACAAGGCTCAACCCAAGGCACACACATTCAACAGGCCTACACAGCAGGCCCAGCCTCACACGGGACTTCTATGACTCTCACAGAGCTAGGCAACGCTTTTGCAACTATGTCTTTTTCTCAACGATGACGGATGGTATATGGATTCGGGTGCAACCTCTCACATGACGAACAATTCAGGTAATCTCATGCCCCTATTTAATTTAAGCACTAAAAATCATATTTTAGTAGGCAATGGTCACCGTATTCCAATAACGGGTTATGGTCACACTAAACTATCCAATAAACCCCATGTTCTTCGTGATGTTTATCTTGCCCCTCAAATCATTAAGAACCTTGTTTCTGTTCGAAAATTTACCACCGATAATTCTGTTTCCATTGAATTTGATCCATTCGGTTTTTCTGTGAAGGAACTTCAAACGGGGAGAATTATAACGAAATGCAATAGTTCGAGGGATCTTTACCCAGTCACTTCTATCGAGTCGCCCACTGCCCATCTCGCCACATCTCTCAATGTTGTCTCACCCACCACATGGCATAGCAGACTAGGCTACCCGGGAGCATCTGCTTTAAGCTTTCTTAGACATAATAATGTTATAGTTTGTAATAAAGAGCATGTCTCTAATTTTTGCAACTCTTGTCAGATTGGGAAACACATTAGACTTCCGTTTTATGATTCGAATAATTTTACAAATTGTGCTTTTGATATTATTCATGCCGATCTTTGGACTTCACCTATTAGTAGCTCAACAGGTCATTAATACTATCTAGTTCACCTTGATGACTACACTCACTATATGTGGGCTATACCTCTAACCTACAAGTCACAAGCCTTTCCAAAATTCCTTGATTTTCGATCTTTTGTACAAACTCAATTCGAACGTCCTATAAAGGCCTTTCAAAGTGACCACGGTCGCGAATTTGATAATGACCCTTTTAAGAAGTTCTGTATTGACAATGAATTGATCTTTAGGTTCTCGTGTCCTCATACTTCATCTCAAAATGGTAAAGCCGAACGCATGATTCACACTCTAAACAATATCAAACGTACACTCCTTTTTCATGCCTCTCTCCCTCCAAATTTTCGGGTATACGCTCTTGAAACCGCATCTTATTTACTTAATATTTTGCCTACAAAAGCACTCAAAAATATAACCCCATCTAAGGCCTTTTTTCGAAAAATTCGTTCATATGATCACCTTAGGGTCTTCGGTTGTCTATGTTTTCCGAATCTTTCCTCAATTGCTCCTCACAAACTTGCTCCTCGATCTACCCCTTGTGTGTTTTTAGGATATCTTACTAATCATCATGGTTATAGATGTTATGACATTACATCAAATAAATTTATATTTTCTCGTCATGTTACCTTTGATGAACATGCCTTCCCATATACTAACTTAAGAAAAATATAAACTTGATGATTACAATTTTTTGGGATTTGATGATCGTTCCCCACTTTTAACACACAACATATTGAAGTTTGGCAACTTCAATCCAAGCACAAATCCCCACCAACCAAATCTGCAGCACCCCACTTCCCAAAGCCCAAATGTCTAAGACTTCCCTCAACCAAATCACACAACGGCCCAACAAGTGGCTTTCACGTCACTTTTCCCACGCAGCCCATCTCCCTCCAATTCTCACTCAACTAGGCAGTGTACCTCGCAACCACCCTGCGGCACGACTGCCCCGGTCGCAACCACCCCGCGGTCCCCATTTCCAGCCTTGCACTCGCCGACCAGCCCACCCACATACACTCCACCCTCTCTTCGCGGCATTCCACCGCTTGAGCCTACTAGATCACCTCTTCCTTCCCCTCATATCACCTGTAGTAACGGGGTATATTCAAGCCAAACCCGAAATATTGCAATCTAACCGTTCAAATTTCGGGACCACCTCTTCACAAATCACCACTTCCAAAGTCTTATAAACAAGCTTTAAATGACCTTAATTGGAATGCGGCGATGAACGATGAGTTTAGTGCTTTGATTAAAACAGGGACATGGGATTTGGTGCCTTGGCCTACGGAGGTGAATATTGTTAATTGTATGTGGCTATTTAAACACAAATTCAAGTCTAATGGTGACCTTGAAAGGCACAAAGCTCGTCTTATGTGTGATGGCAAGTCACAAGAAGTTGGTGTGGATTGTGATGAGACGTTCAGTGCAGTAGTTAAACCAGCCACTATTTGTATTGTTCTTAGCTTAGCTTTGGCTAAAAAGTGGTCGATTCATCAATTAGATGTCAAAAATGCCTTTTTACATCGTGATTTGTAGGAAATAGTGTATATGCATCAACCTCCGGGTTTTGTTGATCGGAGAGTATCCTCCTATGTATGTCGACTTTGTAAGGCTCTATACGGGTTGAAGCAAGCTCCTAGAGCTTGGTACCAGCGCTTTGCGAATTTTTTGGTCAAATTGGGTTTTCTCATTGTTAAAAGTGACAACTCTCTTTTCACTTTTCAACAGAGTGATGATATGGCATATTTGCTCCTTTATGTTGATGATATTATATTAGCTACCTCTTCTGACAGGTTGCATGAGGGGATCATATCTCAGTTGCACACTGAGTTTTCTATGTTGATTTAGGCCCTCTGAGTTATTTTTTAGGGATTGCGGTGACTCGTACTCCCTCTTATTTGCTACTTTCACAGGAAAAGTATGCACAAGAGATTTTAGAGCGTGCAGGTTTGGGCTCTTGTAAACCTGCAGCTACTCCAGTTGACACTAAGTCCAAACTTAGTGCAGATGCAGGACCACCTTTTCGGGATCCTACGTTGTAATCGCAGTTTAGTAGGTGTTCTTCAGTATCTCACTTTTACCAGGCTAGATATTGCCTATGCGGTACAACAAGTGTGTCTTTTTATGCATGATCCCCGAGAATCTCATTATGATGCATTGAAACGCATTTTGCGTTATGTTCAGGATACCATTAATCATGGCTTACATTTATATCCATCTACTTCTCACCGTTTGATTACTTACACTGACGGTGACTGGGGAGGTTGTCCCGATACCCGTCGTTCTACATCGGGTTATTGCTGCTTTCTTGGGGACAACCTCGTTTCTTGGTCATCTAAGCGTCAACATACTTTATCTAAATCGAGTGCAGAAGCAGAATATCGAGGTGTCGCAAATGTTGTCTCTGAGGCATGTTGGCTTCGTAATCTTTTACTTGAGTTACATTGTCCTCTTCGACAGGCTACTATTGTTTATTGTGATAATGTCAGTGCTATCTACCTTTCTGGCAACTCGGTACAACACCAACGCACCAAGCATGTGGAGATGGATATTCATTTTGTTCGAGAAAATGTTTCTTTGGGACAAGCTCAACTTCTACATGTTCCTTCTAGATATCAGTTTGCGGACATTTTCACAAAAGGCCTACCACGAGACTTATTTTTGGGTTTCAGATCCAGTCTTAGCGTACGACCTCCTCCCGCTATGACTGCAGGGTTGTGATAGATATTATAGTTATGATAATATTTGTCGCAGATTAGGATAATATTTGTATATATTCTGTATCCTTATCGTACTAGGATTACGAGTCTTGTAAAACTATATATATATTGATCAATGGTACACACTCTAGATTGAGGAGTTTTCCCGAAATCTAACAGTATAAATTACAAATAATATATCACAGTTATATCCAGTAAAATAATTTCAATAGAAATAAATACTACTCGGATCAGTAAGGCAATTATAATCAACAATTAGACAACACTAACCTATATTATTAATAGTAAATTTTTTGTTTATGAATTGATGCTCTACATGATATTGTCGCTCTTTATTATTATATAGAAATTAAACGTGTTTGAAGCAATCCAATAATTGTAGTTTAATCATTATTTGTTTATTGCCTTAAAAGTTTATTTGTAGATGATAGTTATTTATCGAAAAAAGGATACACAAGAAGATGTCACTTGTCACTATATTATGTCTGATGAGTCTTTTACTATGCATCTTATTTATAATGTCGAATGTAATAAATTTATCATCTCAATCACATGAAAGACATTAAATCTTTTTGTATTTACTAAGATATAAATTTATATAATTACATAATAAATTAATTGATTGATATTTCACATTTTCCTAGAATTAGACATATGATTTAGTTGTCGAACACAACATTTATTATCTAGTCGTGTAATACTCCATTAGTCTAAGAAACAAAATATTAGAGGTATTTAAAAAAAAAAAGTGATGTTTTAAAGTAATTTCTTTAATATTAATTATATGACCCAATTTTATTATTACTTTTAGGGCAAAATTTCAATAATACTTCGGCTAAAAGATGTCCAGGCGGTAATGATAGTATCTTTTACCTAAACTAATGTCTCACTTTTTCTATAATTAAAATAGTGTTAGAATAATTTTGTAGGTAAATGTGTATGGAAGAATTAAAAACACGAAATAAAAGAAATACATTTCATGTAAAGATAATATATAAGATTTGGAATATTATTATAGTTGTATTATACAAATTTTCCGAAAAAAGAAGTTTTTTTGCTAAAAGGGGAGGGGAAGTTTTGGAGGGAAAAAACAGCACTAAGAAGTGACACGTGTCATTCTCGATGTCTATTTTAATATGATGTTATTGATTAAACTTTTAAAAAGGTATAGGGATATAGACGAGATTCAATTTTCAATACTAATAAAAATTGAATATCACCACTTGTTTAACAAAAGTAAGTCAATTAAATGAGTAGCAAAAATTAATTAAGCTAAACCTTTTCAAAAATTAGTTATGTTTAACAAAAGTAAGTCAAATAATTTTTTTTTCCAACAAAGATAAATTAATTTATACATTTGTAAACAAAAGCAAAAGATATTACATACCCTTGTTTAAGCACTCATAGAACAAATTAAGTTATTATTATAACAATTTAAGATTTTTTTTTTAATTTTTTTGGAAACAAGAGATTAAATGTTTTTTAGAACAAAATAATTGTTAAATGTTTTTTAGAACAAAATAATTGTTCGAAACAAAGCATGTTTGTTGTTCTAGCCACCATAGTAAAACTTAGGGTTGTCATTGATTTTATCGATGGTAAGTCCCAAGTTCTTCTTCAATTTAATATTTTTAGCTAATAAAGATCCCCAACAGTATGGTGATTATAGTCAGTCCCTCCATGTGGGGTTTAGTGTTGTTTGTTTTTCGTGTATGCAGGGATATAAATTTGGAAGATTCGTCTTACAAATTTGTGGAATTATGGGTCTGTTGGTATAGGGGTGCAGATTTAGAAGATTCGTCTTGCAAATTTGCAGATTTTGATGGTCAATCAAGTTTTATCACTTTTATGACTATACATCAATGGAACTCCGTCAAGAACTATGCAAAGACATCTAAAATTATTTAGGAGCAGTTTAGAAGCGATGCCATTAATTTAGGGGTGTTTAATTCTTGTATTGAGAATTTAGATCTCTTAAGGAATGATTATAATTTGGAAGTGCCAAATGACTATTATTATTATTTAATGAAATCACCCCTCCCTATTCCATTAAAAAAAAAAAAACATGTTTGTTGTTAATGTACTTGCATTTAATATACCTATACTAATATCAAAACATTAGCGCTTGTTTTTTGTAATTTAGACAAGATCCAATTTTAATAGTTCAACACTCCTTAAACTAGAGAAGTACATCGTATAAAATACTACCTTCTTATGACTTTAACGAAACACCATAAATTAGATTATTGTAAGTAGTGTAATATCAAAACCTTACCACTTGTTTTTATAGTAAACTAGATGAAATTCATTTTTTTTTAATATTCCAATATAAAATACAGTCTCTTAAGACTTTAACGAAACATCATAAAATAAATCGATTGAATAAGAATTTTGTAGTGTAGCATATCGATATCGCTAATCCAAAAATTGACAACATATGTAGATTATTACGAATAGTACTTGTTTTTAATATCCATATACTAATATCAAAATATCTCCGCCAGTTTATGAAATATAAACGAGATTCAATTTTTTAATACTCCGTAATCCAATATAAAATACCGCCTCTTATGACTTTAATGAAACACCATAAAATAATCCGATTGAATGAGATTTTTGTAGTGTAGCATATCGATATCGCTAATCCAAAAATTGACAACATATGTAGATTATTACGAATAGTACTTGTTTTTAATATCCATATACTAATATCAAAATATCTCCGCCAGTTTATGAAATATAAACGAGATTCATTTTTTAATACTCCGTAATCCAATATAAAATACCGCCTCTTATGACTTTAATGAAACACCATAAAATAATCCGATTGAATGAGATTTTTGTAGTGTAGCATATCGATATCGCTAATCCAAAAATTGACAACATATGTAGATTATTACGAATAGTACTTGTTTTTAATATCCATATACTAATATCAAAATATCTCCGCCAGTTTATGAAATATAAACGAGATTCAATTTTTTAATACTCCGTAATCCAATATAAAATACCGCCTCTTATGACTTTAATGAAACACCATAAAATAATCCGATTGAATGAGATATTTGTAGTGTAGCATATCGATATCGCTAATCCAAAAATTGACAATATACCTAGATTATTTATTGGTATTAAACCTAATATAAAAATATAGGACATGACTCATACTTGAGATTTGGGAGTTTCGTCATTTTAGAAATTTTTTCTTTATTCTTTGACAGATGGAACTGCATGCTACACTCTCCTCTTCAGATTAATCTTTTTCCGGCATGATTTCTCCTGACATCATTATCAAATTACATCATTTTTCTACTATAAATCTACTCAAATCCTAGGATTTTACAATTTAATTTCTGTTTTTCTTCAATTTTTTTCACTCAATTTCATTGCTACAAAACCCTAATTTCCGACTATTTTAAGGGTTGATCTGTAAATGTCGACTACAAATGCATCCTACAATGGTAGGAGAAGTAGCAGTAATCGCCGCATTATTGAATCGACTCCAATGGAAGGTGATACAAGCTTGATTACAAGCAACAATGGCGGCAGTGTTAGTGGTAGTAATCCAGAAGCAGTGAAATTGTATGAAGCAATTATATTTTCTGGTCCAATCGTGTTCACATTGATCATCATTTTCTTGTTTTACTTCTTTTATCTTCGAAGGCATAGTGTTGATTGGTCTTCTCTTCGTATGCGAGCTTCTAATTCTGCTGCTGTCGCCGCCGCCGCTTCCGATGCTGTTGTGGTAATGCTTGTTTGATAGTTGATTGATGAATTTACAAGCATTGTTTATTGATTTGTATGATGAAATATGGTTTGATTTCATTTTTAGGTGGTTGAATTGGGGTTGAAGAAAGAATTTAGGGAGATGCTGCCAATTATTGTGTTTAAGGAGAGCTTTTCTGTTAGAGATACACAGTGAGTAATTTCCCTTTTCTTGCATTTTTGTTTTTGTATAATATATACTTCGTACTTTTTATATTTTTTTATTTTTTTTTATTTTAATTTTTGATAAAAAGTAGTTAGTGTAGTAATTTAAGGTAGTGGAGTTTGGTTTATAAGGTGATGGAAGTAGTTATGTGATTTTAGAAGTTATTAAAGATGTGGGGATATTGAATTTGAATTAGACAACTGTTCATTGAGACTCAAATTTGCTTGTTGGATAGTGGATAAACAAGATATTATAGTGGTTTCTTTTCAGGTAACAAAATCTAAAGTGGTTTTCTTAATCTTTCAATTTAGCAATTATGGTTGAAAGAATTGGGGGGCAGGGCTGGTCTTGGACAGGCAAGGATTTATGAATGATATTTGATGAGCTATGTTGCATGGACTCTTCACTAATCACAATACCTCAAGTTCAGTATGGAGATTCAGCCACTTTGACTTAGTTTAGATTATGCAAAATTTTTAGAAAATGGTTTAGTCGAGAAAATGTATTGGCGTTGGATGTTTGTAGTAGAGTCCACGTGACATAGCCAGTGTGATGAGATATTGTATATATAGAATGTATGCGTACTTTGTGAATCTCTGCAATGATATGATTACAGGGACAATGGAGAATAGAACTTTCAAATGTGGAGCAGTTATAGTCCAAGCCTAATGTTGTGCCAGAAGCAACTTGGAGTTGGATTTGTGGTGCCCAAACTGATTCCTTTAGTACTATGTCCTCCACTCCTTCACTTAATTCTGATTAGTGCATTGAGTATATATTTTTTTCCATCATGTTTTCCTTATTCCTTTACACATTGTTTGGATGGGAGGAAATGAAGAGAGGGGGAGGGGGGGGGGGATGGGGGTTACAATTCACCTTTTTGGATATTGGATTGAGGGACAGAAGGGGAGGGATTCATTTTCCGTCCTCTTTACTATCCCTCCAAAATTGGAGAGATTTGGAGGGAAAGTGAAGCTCCACTTTCCCCCTCCCTTTCTTTCCCCTTCCCTTCCTCCTTTTACCTTCCCCTTCTAAATTGTTATCCAAACATGCTGTTAGAGATGCTATTTAGGGTCTTCACTGGTTAGTATGTGTGCTTGTTTTACTATTGTACCTGGAGCCTTTCTAACCTCCCAATATAAGCCATGCACTCCTATTGCAACTGTAATCATCCAAACTAATACCTCCCCAGTGATAAAATCCTAGTTGTCTAATGTAAGATGATCCCTACATATAAGGGAAGTTTTTATTCTTTACATTGGGTCGCTAATTTTTTATAAAACCCATCATCAATGTCGCATCTCATAGTCTTCCGGTGTGAAATTTGGAGTATGCAATGTTCTGCATCCATATTCAAGGACTTTGATGAACTCAAATGTTCATTAGGTGTTATTCTTAGTCTGTTTCTTTATCTTAGGGGCGACTGAATTCAAACTTTCATTATGTGTTATTCTTAGTTTTTAAAGACTAAAGAGGAATGACCATCCAACATGGAGACTTATCCAAATCACCCTCTCCCTAAGTAGTTTGATCTCTTTAGAATTGCTCCTTAATTTACTTCCTCTGCCCCCAAATATAATGAATAAATGAATTAATGTGATTTAAAAAAAAAAAAAAAAAAAAACACATTATGAGAGCACTAGCAGCTAAACAAGTGGGATCATCATTAATTAATATGCCCATTGGTCAACAAATAAGATATTATTTAATGTTCCTTTTGTCCCATTTTGTTTAACGGCTATTCTTTCTTTGGATACCCTGAAATGATTGTTTGCCTTCTAGTTTCTACTGTATACACCCAAATTTGGAGTAATGTGTTTCCTCTCCACACATTTCATTATGGTAAGTATCAATTAATGCATGACATAACTCACTTTTACATGTTTAAAATCATCAAAGATATCGCTTTTATTTTAACTAGTTCCGTAGTATTTTTGTTCTTTTTCAGCTTTTGAAACATATTTGAGACAAAGGGAGTAGTAGGATGGATACACTGTTAATATTACTTGTGTTTGCATCTTATAGCATGCAACTCAATGTAAAATGAGTGGATAAGGCTCCCATTTTTAACATGGTCAAGGGGTCCCTATGTACATAAATAGCATCCCCACAGGCCTACTACAATCTAGGTAGCAGTATAGCACGAATTAGGCCCGACCGAAAATGCGTCTAGTCGATGAACCCAGAAACTTGATCTGGTCCATTATCATCCTAAGTAGAAAATTTTTATGTGGTGTTTTCATCTTTTTAAATACTTCCTTAGAATCTTAGATACTATATCGGGATGTATTGAATAATTTCATTACTCCTGAATGAAATAGTAATGATTTATGATCAAATCATCAGATCCCTAATATTTCCTTACATAAATTATGTAATTGGTTGACGATAGCAAGTGATGTTTGATAGAGTGATAGACATACCACTAGTAATATAAAGAAAAATGTAAAGGTATATGATATACTTAATCTTGTGAGGTTGTTATGGTGTGACGAGTGAAAGCTCCAGAATCCAGACAGACAGAGTAGTTAAGATCAACAAACATATCCAAGATGAGCCATTTTGGTTTTCTATAACTTGACACAACTAACTTTGTTCTTCTAATTGCTGGTCTATATATATTTGCCGATCAACCAATTTACTATACATGATTTGTGGGCTAGTCTGGGGGCCTAATTATCCCCGAACTGGTCCACATAACTTGGGACCTGGATAGACCATAGGCCAGGTGGGTGGGCTTTTTGTCCCAACAGGCCAAGCTGGTCTTGTGCCTGGTTCTGTTATGCCCACCTGTCACTTGAATTGGTTCGCCTAGTAATGCATATTGTCTTGCCCGTGTTGAATTGCAGCCAGGTTTGACATGTGAGCTGGTTTGGCTGGGCCGTGCCAAATTCAGAACACATATCATGCCTACGGTTCACACCATTTTCCTTGAATTCCAAGCAGTGTCATGTTTCTATACATCTTTATATCTTCATTGTCTTTGGTTATTCAAAACCCAATTCCAAGTTTTATAATAATTTTTCAAGGATGTTACATGAGATGGGTGATACTGTGGTTTTCCTTCAATTAGTTCTACGTATTATTTTTTTGTTTCTTTGACTACTTCATTCTTGAAATATATCAATTGGTAGCTTTGCCCCACGCAACTGATGTAAGAGTTATACCTGGTTGCTTGGATGTTAATTGATATATGTGTGGTCATCATCTTCAATTTAGAACTACCGTAAAAGCTTGGATTTATTCTACCTTTTAATTTAAACTGCTCCATGGGCACTTAAAGTAATTCAATGGTGATTATATTTATCTTGTCAACAACCTGTGAGTTATTCTTTCTTTCCTTCATCCTTATCAAAGATAATTAACCAGTCGATAGGGTAATTTTTGTCACAGCGAGCTTTTAGAATACAGAGGTGCAGATCACTGTGAATTTTTGACCCATCTAACGTTTTAGTTATAAGTAACTAAAGTAAGTTATGTCCATGTGTAGGATGTGATTGCTGGGGGAAAAGAATAGGGAAAACAATACTCAAATTTGGTTTATATGAATCATTAATCCTATTTTATTGTAAAACTTCTTGTATTAATTGGTAGAATTGTTTTTTGTGAAGCTTTTTAACAGTTTGTTTTTCTTCATGAGACCTACAATCTGCCCAATTCTCTAAAGATCTTCTCCATCATTCTTCACCATTGTCGTGAAATCATTTGACTGGGAAAATTTGTTTAAAAACATCTGTGTACTATTTTATTTTTATTTTTTATATATATTTATTCTTTTTTCTGAAAAAAAAAATTCCCTATGATATTAATGCGACCTGCTATCTTATGTGACCTTCATCTAGTCACCATTATGTGTTAAAGAAGGTTTTGATACCCTTAGTGGTCAAGTTAGAGCATCATGCTTTTAAAAGTTTTTGTATGAAAAAAGTTGTAAAGGGATAGTTGATTAGTTATCAAAAAGTTATAGTTCTTATAAGGTAACACTAGAAAAAAGAAGTCCACATAAAGGATGGTGTTTTTTTTTTTTTTTTTTTTGGAGATCCCACATAAAAGGTTTTGGAGATCCCACATAAAAGGTAGTTCTGAACTAACTTGCCTTGATTTGAGTTGTGTGATGTAACTTGCTTGTGTTTGGTTTTTTTTTTTTTTTTTTTTTTTTTTTTTTTTTTTTTTTTTTTTGTCTAGACCAAATATTTTCGCTACGAGGCCTTTTTTTTAGTGAAGATATAGATTTACTATGTAGGGATTGCTCAGTGTCACAATGACAATGGAAAGTGCGAGATGAAGATTTTATTATGTTTGGAGAGTTGACATATTTCCATACACCTTGTATATTTTGACGTGGTGGTGGTGTATGAACTCTTGCCAATATTGGTAATCCATACGCCTTGTATATTTGGATGCGGTGGTGTTATATGAACTCTTGCCAATACTGATAAATAACTTCAGCTGATATATCCGTACGCCTTGTATACTTTGACGTGGTGATGTTAAATGAACTCTTGCCAATACTGATGAATAGCTTCAGCTGATATATTTCCATACGCCTTGTAAATTTTGACGTGGTGATATATGAACTCTTGCCAATATTGGTAAATAGATTTTTCTTTGATTGAGTTCTCACCTTGTTTTGCTGGCGATCTAGGAACTGACCTGATCATTTCAGCCTACATAGTCAATTGATTTCTACTCTCTCTCTCTGTATTTTCTTGCATCTCTCTTTTATTTTATTTTATTTTTAATTTATATTATAATTTTTTTCATTCCCCCCAGAAAATTTCTGCTAAATTCCTCATATAAATATCTCATTATATCAACCATATCTCAGATGCTCAGTGTGCTTAGGGGAGTACCAAGCAGAAGATAAGCTTCAACAGATACCTGGATGTGGTCATACATTTCATTTGTACTGCATCGACCTTTGGCTAGCCACTCATACCACCTGTCCACTCTGTCGCCTTTCCCTTATCAGTTCATCCAAAACCCCACCAGCCTCGGAGTCTGAGAGTAACGATCAGACTGATAGTAGTAGATCTGAAGACTCAGAGAATGTAGATGACACCCTTCGGCTAAGCAGAGTGCAGGTTTTGTGATTTAGCTCTCCTTTATGGGAGAAACAGGAACGTGTGAGATGATTTTAAAGAAGGTAGGAACCTGTACAGGGATGACAGAAATCTAGGATACGAGATGGCTGTAGGTAAATCTTATCTGCAATCTCATTGCTTCTTGTTGTGCTATGGACGAGTTGTTCTGCTGTGTTGGAACATTTGCCTGAATTTAAGTGAGAAAGGGTTTCCTGTATCATGTGAACTCCGGCATCAGTGTTGAATCAAATGGCATTGTATCCTGCGAGTGTTTATCCACCGAGGAACCTGTACTTGTCCAGACTCCAGAGAGGGCTATTGATTGTGTTGTCTCGTATTCGTGTAGAAGTATGTAAAACTAATAAGCTATTTAAATTATCTCCTGTAGTTGCTTGTAGTGAATCCATGTAAAATAAGTATATATATTTTTTAATCAATGTCTTCATGTGTATAAAACATGGCAAAGAAGATTAGTCAATGCTGCTAAGGTTGTGTCATGGCAATCAGCTAATCAGAAGATTCTAATCTGTTGAGAGGAGGGTTGTCAGTACAGCACAATCAGTAGCAAAAGCTTTTACAGTACAATAAGTCCCCTTCTCCACGTCCACTCTTATTTGTTTTCATTTGGGCTTTCCTCATGCTTCTAATAAGTAACTACATACCTTGGAAATTTCCGTTTGTTTTCATTTGGGCTTTCCTCATGCTTCTAATAAGCAACTACATACCTTGGAAATTTCTGTGTCCCCCATCAACTCTTACCAAGTAATTCCATTCCATTTTGGACTCGGACGTGGGCTTTGCAATTCAGTATCTTCAAAACCATAATTATCCCAGGAGTACCCCAATTTCTCCTCTTCCTGCTTGGCAATGGGCTTAGATGGATCAAAGCATTCAAGAGATAGCAAGAATGCCAAGTCCAATTCCTCTATATTCAAAAAATCTTCTTCTTCTTCAGTGGCCCAAGCAAGATCATCTTTTTCCAAATCAGAGAGGATAGGGTTCAAGGTTTCTAAGGGATGAACAGTTTGTACTTCTCATAGAGATAGGAGTAGAAAGATTGTCACATGGGCTATAAGCATAGATTTTTATCGCCTAGATCTGATGGTAGTTTACTTGCTTACTTGAACAAGTATGGATTTCACTTGGTTATAAAGAATGATTATAAATTTAACATTAGATTGTTCTCATATAAGGCCCTATTTTGTTCGATTTTATTTCAAATAAAATAAGTTTGGACGAATTAAGTTTAATTTAAACAAATTCGGATAATGATTTTTTTTATTTTTTTTCCCCTAATAAGTTTACACAAAATTTATTAAAAACTAGTTTTGATAATTTAGAACGCTTGTTGGAACAAATTGTATTAGCCTGGTTTGTAACGTGTAACATTTGATATTTTGCATGAAGCTAGAATATACTTCCTCCCATATTCTTTTATTTACAAGGTAGCCCCTAGGCATTAACGTTTATTTAATCTCTTTTAAAGTGCGTCTAGATGTTATGTAACAAGTAAAAGAAAACGGAGGATGTAACAAGTAATAGTAGACTCCTTAATTCAAATAAATCTACAATTGCAAATTACAAGAATATGGTTCATCAAAATGACATGCTGTATTATACGAAGTATATCCATTTCAGTGACACAAGTTTCAAGGAATGAAGGTCTGAATAAGATTTTATGCTCTCAACGTTTCTCCACATTAGCCTGCTTGAAATCCGATTCAGTTTTGTGTAACTTGATCTAAGCATGAGTAACAAGTTGCAATGTAATATGTAATTACTGTATATAATATAGTTCCATAGCTACTTAATTCCATGTTACGTATACGAATTCTTATCTGTAAGATGTATGCACCGAGAACTTGTATGCTACTCGTATTAAACAAGCGTTGTCTCTTCTATAACCTGGCCTTATGGGCTGTAGCACCTCCAACCACTTATCAACCTCTTTTAAGGCATGGTAGGACTGTTGGAGTGTTGTCTGAGTTGTCTCATTTAAACAACAGCTGATCATGTCTGACTCAACCAAAATTAAGCCGGGATTGGGTTGCCATTTGCCAACCTGATTGCTCAAACCATTATTTGAGGCTGTGTACCTGTGTATCTATGCATCACAAGCAATTTTTACTCCGCACGGGTTTTGGTTTTAAGCCCAACCTTGCTCGGCTAGGTTTCTTCCTGTTAGAAATTTCTCGACTAAAAACCATAGCCAAACTCCTGATAACCTCTCCAACTATAAGAAAATGCCTCTAAGTAACTAAGTATGCTGACCAATGTTTGAGCTTATCAGGAAACCAAATTAAATTGTGCCAAGCTAAACAGAGAAGGGACAATTAACGTATATATGAACTCATGCATCAGCCAAAAGTCGTATGAACTCATGCATCAACCAAACGTCGTATGAACTCATTCATCAACTAAACGTCTCACATTGTTGAACTCGATCCAACCAATGATCCAACTACTGCTCTAGTGCTCTGCTTATGTCCTTTGGTCCATTTCAAATAAAGTCTTACTTGACCATTATCACTTCATGCATCAGTTTACCAAAGTCTACTACTGTAATATGGATTTGTTCTTTCTCTTCATAATAAGTGTATTTATATTTTAGTGTATGGTAAATCAGATGGGCTTAATTGACAAGAGTAAGAGGCAAGTATAAACTCCATATGTATAATGTATAAAAGGATCGCTTGGTTCAGAGTTGATGGAAAACGCTATCAGAAACAACCTGGTAGTCCAGCAGAAATAAAATCCTTCAAAATAACTATTTTACTCGAGAAGTTTCAATTTCCACTAAGACATTCCCTTTTTTATTTTTTATTCTTTCCCTTTTGCCAATCGAACTTGAATGTAAACAGGTCTTACTATTCATAGGCTCTTGCGATGCATATTAAACTCAAAGCTAATCTAGAACAAGTCTAACTGCCTCACAAGTACACAAAACCTAGGTCTCACAGAGTCACAGTCATCATCATCATCAACAACAACAACAAAGCCTTAGTCCCAAAATGATTTAGGGAGTCACAGTCATCAATCAACAGAAAATTAAAACAATGATACCTACCAGTTATCATGAAGCTTTTTTACCAAGAAAGAGAGCTACATATGTATATTATCCACACACCCCCCTCCCCCCCCCCCCCCCCCCCCCAAAAAAAAAAAAAAAAAAAAAAAAAAAAAAACGTACAAAATGATACTATATTGTGCTACTAAGAACAAGTGTTTATTATGCAAACCAATTCACAAGAATAACATGTATGAGCTAACAAAGGTTATTTGGCCAACGTAATTGACCTGTTGAGCATATGTCTAAGTGCCCTTCCATTAATTATACCAGGTCTGTGAACCTGGATCAGGCTTTAAAACAAACCAAACAGCTTAAGTATTTAAGTAACACTGTTGGATTTCAATTTCAACTAAGAAGCAGGAAATGCTGAGAGCTCAAGTATTGAGTGATCCTGTTAAATAATATGATAGCTTACAGCTCATGTAACATTCAAGTTCTGAAACTATAGACCTGTACACATATTCTAGCACTGAATGCTACAGAATAGGAATGTTTACGCCACAGGCTAAAAAGTAACTGCTATACATACTTCAGAATCCTGTAAAGTGATGGTTATTGGAACTATGTACTCCAATATCCATAACATTTTAAGAAAAAAATTACTCAATGACGAACACACTGAAGACCCTGACAAATCAGCAGCCAAGCTAGAAACAATAAGATGCATACTGCAGCATCAACGATAAGAACTAACCGTACTAGGCGACACCATTTTCTTCTTGTGGTTTGGGATCTCAGCCTCATGGAAGAGCTCATATCCTTGTGCAATGACAATGGAGAAACTGTTGCACCTGCAGGATTAGAGTCTGAATCACCCCTGTGCCCTCGGTCTGTAGACCTACGGTTTTCTTCAAGCTCAATACCTCTCATGGCAATCATGTGATGATCCTTAACCTTCTTGTCTTGCTTCAAGGTCTTACTATTACCTAACAAAGGCGCCTTAGTAGAAGTTGCAACTTCCACCACCTCCCCATAATATGAAACACAAGGAGATGAAGATGGGTTCGCACTACCACCATTTGCTCCGGTTTGTGAAACATTTTGTAAGGAGGTAATCAATTGACGAATCACAGGAACCAATTGTTCCTGTAAGTTAACATTGGAAGCACCCCCCTTCCGACCACCCGAACTCTTCTTGGCAATCTTCTTAAACTCGATCCTAACATGCTCTAAGAACTGGAGAAGGGCAGGATTTCCAATACCCTCATTGGCAATGGCAAAATAAACATATCCATCTTCCATCAAAAACATAAAAGTCCTCTTACTCATGGTCTGAGAATACCATCTATGGCATAGAGGAGCTTTTTCCAAACACAACGCCGCCAATTTCTCGATTTCATCGTCTCCTCCACTGTATGCCTGTAATATCCTACCCCCTTTCGCAACACAACAGTAATGCACAAAACCCTTTTCCATGGAACCCATCAATTAGCATTTAAAGTACTCAATTCCAGTCCAATTAAGCAAGAATCTTGATTCGAATAAAGTAGAATTGAACCAAATCTTCAATTAACGAAGCAAATACTAAGCAGAAAGCAATAATTTCATCGGCAAGTAATTCAAAAGCATCCAAAAAATACCAGAACAATTCCAACGCAAAATCTTCAAACTCTAGAAAAAAGTCAGTCATGATTCATTCCTAACATAGTGAATCAATTCCCACATCATAACCTAATTGAAACTCAATAAAAATTTGTTCTTTTGGATGAAGTATTACCAACAAACAAATCCTATCAAAATACAGGAAATTCAATGACAAAGTTGTTAAGAATACTGAAAAACTTATACAGAAATTTCGAAGAACGAACTTACTGAAGTAGAAGGAAGGAATATTTCTAGTGAAAGCAAGTAGAATTGCGTGTAAAAGCACCTTCTTGGAAAGCTTCCATGGTGGTAGACCTGGTCACAGGAGAGAAATTGGAAGGCAGTTTATGGGAAAGCAGTATCAGCAAAAATGTAATGATGGGGTAACTGATTTGTTCATAATTTATGGGTTGACGCGGTGTCTTGCCGGGTCAGCTTTCTTCTCCTGCTGAGAGAGCTGGCTGCTCCCCTCCTCGTTTTTTTTAAGGTGATAAATGGGTTGCTCGGATCGGATTTGATTTGAATTAATCTGTTTCAAGTCTTATTAGAGTGAAATTAAAGTGTTCGGTTTGAATTACTCATGTAACTTTTTTTCTTTTAATACTCATGTAACTTATTTTGTTATGATACAAATGATATCTTGACCTTATAGTGATTAAAATTGTGAAAACTAATAGTCAATGTAAAACAGGTCATATTTTCGAATTTTCCATCGTCATTCGTTATTTGTATTGTCATTGTAGGTCATATTTGGATTAGAAAATTTTATTTTGGTATCATAAATTTCAATTCTATTAATACTAGGTGGGGTCAAGTGCATTCGGATTTTAATGAAAAACTAGTTTAAGTTCCGTACAATGTACGATTATTATTAAATTTTATAAAGAGTTATTGTATTGAATTTTATAAAAAAAAAATTATACTCATAATACTAATTCAAAAATAAATATAACTTTAATTTTATACCTAGCTATAACAATGTCAAGATTAGTGACACTTAGACTTAATTTATACATATATAAAAAAAAAATGGTCTATGAGGTAGATAAAATTCTAAGGATAGTACCCGCGCGTGATGCATTATTATTAATACGACTTTTAAAAATAGAAAATAAAGTGTACATATATGTGTGTTAACAAAATGATTTTATTTTAAATTGAATTAAACATTAATGCAAAAGTAACAAAACTGGTTAAAAAAAAATAGTATTATCGAAAACTAGGATAATATAAAGCAGTATTATTAATAATATTTACCTAATATACTTTCATTTTTTTTACAAAAAAAATACCTAATATAAAATACTATGTATATGTAAAAATATATAGTTGGGTTTATATAGAGAATAATTATTGTTAAGAATTTAATTGGAAGAAAAGTATTTTGGATTATTATAAAATAATTTTCTTAAATAATCTGCATATAAACGAAAAGTAAAATGGGCAAAAAAAAAATTTAACCACTAGATAACATGTGTCATTCCTGGTTTCGCTTTTAGTATATAGTTTTGATAGAATTTTATGATTGATAATATTATCTATATATACAATAGAATCAATTACACTCAGAAATAAGCAACACATTAAACACTGACCAAAATATTGCGTTAATCCTTTCTAAAATAAAATAAAATAAAATTGCGTCAATCATAAAGTACTTATGGAAAAGAATTTTATGCTTAGAGTAGATCGTTTCAAGTCGGTCGGTTTACTAATAAACATTTTTATCTTAATTTATATGGGTAGAGAGTAAATTTTGTTTTTAATTTGCCTTCCATTTGAGACTACTTCCAATTCTTCATATACTCCATATTTGTCACACTTTCTTCTTCCTATTATACACAATTTATGACCAATCCCTTTGATATATTATCTTCTTCCCTTTTTTTGGTTAAAATATGGAGTACCATAACACGCAATATGATGAGACCCAATACTCCAATAGTTAGGGTTCGTTTGTCATCGCTGTGGATTTAAGTTTTTTTCTTTTTTTTTTCAAAAATCATATGATATGTAAAGGGCGGAGATGAGAATCGATCCCATGATTCTCTTGAATCGGGAAGGAGCTCTAACCACTTGAGCTATCCCTCACTCTCTTCATGATGCTCTATTACCCTTTTTTCATACATTTTCCCCCAAATATGATATTTATTGCAAAATCTCCAAACTTAATTATTAAAAAACTAAATTCTTCATTCATTTAATTTGACTACATCATTAATATGCTTGAAATCTTGCCTAATTCAAACCCTAAGCAACCCCAATTATAAATAATTGTGGACTCATGGATAATAAATACTTTGTATATAGTTCAATACTTATGCACTTTCTTTTATGACCATCTCAATCAAGTATATAAATGAATACATTACCATTTCTTTGATTTCAAACTAACTCCAAACGAGCTGAATGTAACAAGTATAAGTAAAATTTCGTACTCTTTCCAAAAAAAAAAAAAAAAAAAAAGTAAAATTTCGTACAATGAAATTCCAAATGCTAGTACAGTTGCCTCAATTAAGTTCTTTCCTAGAAATTTCAGTAGAAAAAAACCAAGCCGTAAGAAAGTTGGATTTTGCTCCATATTAGGCAATTAGGCATACTAACACATTAAACTCGAATACATGTCGCAATTGCTTGTAGTGATGTCATGCCATATATTTAACAAAATTATCAAGGAAATTTTGTAATCAAATTCCACTTGCTATTAACATGTTTCATGTCTTAGCGTAGATGACGTTTCATAACAACTTAAAAAATCACAACATCAATACACTAAGATTTTATATGCTTTCATGCATCGTCATTTTTAACTTTCTTTGCTTTAAACTTTGACCATCGTATCATTTTTTTCAGCTATAAACAAAGTTGTTGATTTGACCTTAAATTGAACTTGAATAGCCTAATCTTAACCTTTTACAATAGAAACATCTAAACAATTTTTCATCCAAAAACATTTTCTTTAGGTTTAATAAGAACAAATAAAGATGTTAGGGTAAGTACGTAAGTACATCTTATAAGCTACAGGTAATATTTTTGGAAAATAAGAGTTACATCTTATAATTATGTATAACTTTGATCGTATTATAACTGTTTGTACACAATAATGCCAGTCTCAATCAAGGAAACATTAGGAGCCTATATAGGGAGCAAACGAGAACCTACTGCATCTATTGTAATTAAGTAGAGCCTTCCTTACTGACATGAACTAGACAACCACCAAAAAAAAACAAGCCATCTGAATTCCTGCTGTTAGTATACTTCTGTACTCCCTGTGCAATCTCCAATCTGTTTGTAATTAATAAGTGTCAACATTCTGGCACTCTAAAGTCTAGAATTGATCTGAATATAAGCCGGCGTTGAATAACACAACTAAAGTTGATGCTAGTAGAATCTTTAATCTTAATCGAAGTGTTGGTAAAGCCAACCTGATTACTAATATGTGATGTTGTGGTCTTTAACTGCTCAGACGGAATCAACAGGAAGATACAACAGCATCATCAGAGCAAAGAAAAGCCTTCCTCTAGACACTGAGTTCTAGTGTCTAGCATGAGTTGCTGAAGAAGAGCTGGATTACTGGTGACAACAGCATCAACACTGTTAATTAACATATCCTGCATCGAAACCATGTCATCCACCGTCCAAGCATAGATCTTTTTGTTTCTCCTGACAAACCGATACAGTAATCATATTAATATTCCAACTTCAACTGAAATGATTAGCTTAGTCAAGCAACAAGGGTACAATGGTATGTACAAGGCGGTTGTGTAAAGTTGACCAACAAAACTCGTCAACATGCTTACCAGTGAAGGATTTGGACAAGCTTTTCATCAATTAGTGGATGGTAAACCCCAACAATTCCTGCCCTTTTCATCCTCAGCAAATTGGATCGAAACCCAGTTTTTGGATCTTTCATAACGATATAACCAACCTACAGAACACCACAAGAAGACATCAAAATATGACCTATGACATAAATATGAGAAGGACCTGAAAAGGCTTACAGAAGGAACTGCTCTAACAACAAGAATGGATGTTAACTGACTAAAGCTGTTTAGAAGAGTAAGAAAATTTGTGAAATTGTGAAGAGCAATCTCTAAAGGAAACATTCAGCAAGAGCGAGTATTAAGAGTGATTATTCTGCCGGAACTCTAAACAGGACCATGACTTGCAGGACACAGCTTCTCTGAACAAATAGCCAGCACTCACCACAAGCAAAATAAATATGCTTACCTACCAATTTACCGACCAGTGTGCCATTAATTGCCACTAGTGTACAGAAGTACTTCCTCTGTTCCACAAATATTGCAACAAGGATGAAATTACGCATCCCAAAGCACATATTATATGCTAAATATCTATAATTGTATAAGAGTAAAAATTATAAAAAGTTGATATTGTGAAAGTATTTTACGAGACGAATTTAATAAGATCCCACAGGACTATATTTTACTTTACGTATAAATCATAATACGTGGTCAAACAAACGTGATAAATAGTGTAAAAGTCCAGTTGTTGCAATATGACTAGAACGGAGGAAGTATAGACAAAGCATATTGATCTTTTCTTTAATAAATTCATGAAAAACAGATATGAAAACACAAGAATTTATAATTAGAACAGGTACTGTAGAGGGAATGATTTACAAGAACAAAATAGATGTTTACCGTAGTGTTTGGGGAGAGTCTTATAATTTCCCTCACTAAAGTGTCACTTTTTGCCCATATAATGCAATTCGTACAATGTGTTCTCTTTACCTGTAAGTATACAGTAGATAATTCAAGGTTAATGTAGAGACCAGGAGCTACAACTGAGAACTGTGAAAAGAATACCCTTGCAAATTGAGGATATCAAGTGATTATCAACTAGAGAACAACCACAATAAAAAAATAAATAAAAAAAACCTCCCAGTGTTCAACTTAATTGTGCTTATTTCAGTTCTTGTAATTAAGTGACTTGATAGTGCAACTCTTCCTAACCCAACAGCAACAAAAAGCTCAGAACTACATTGAGCATGTTTGGTAAGAGTGTTCTTGTATTTTCAACCATTACCGTTACCAAGTGTTTGGTTGGGTAACAATTACAAGGGTAATGGTATACACCCATTTGTTACCTCTCTAAAACCTTAGGTAACAATTACCCTTACTCTCCTCAAACAAAAATAAAGGAAGATAGGTTTAAGTGATTCCTTTCCATGATTAAACCAAACAAATGGAAAGGTAAAAGTTAAATGATTCCTTTCCTCATTTGTTTCTTTTCCACTCCATTTCCATTATTCATACCAAACGCCCCCTGAAATATATCAAAAGTCTAAATAAAGCGGGGACAGAATGATTCAGACCAGACAAGATCAAAACTTCTTAATCCATATACTTATTTATGTCATTAAGTGCATATTTATAAAAATCAGGAAGATTAGATATATGGAAAATATGCATTGAGGTGAATCTAAAAATACGGTCAATGTTTACCCAGACCAAGACATTAGACCTGATCAGATGAAATCAGGTTAGACCAAACATTAATAAAATCAAACCAAAACACATTTTTTTCAAGTGAAGAGAACTAATTTTGTATTGTTTAACATGTCAAACTCAGCAGTGACCCTTAATAGTTCATTTTAAAAAAATAGAAAATGAATTTGGAGATAAATTCAATTTTTTCAGAAATTTATACAGCAATAAGCGAATCAAATAGACGTTCAGTTGAAAGAAAGAAAGGATTACACTCAAAATAGGACAAAGCATACTACAGTAGAAACATCAAACTTACAACAGCTAAAATTTTCTCGACAAGACCTTTTTCATATAATGGAGGCCCAACTTTTGCATCAAGGATGACTTGCCGTACTGAACCTGACACCAACTGACAATAACAGCAACCAGGAGTCAGCTAGAAATAAATGCACTATAATCAGGAAATAATTTCTCAAAAGCGGTATTAACAAATAATGTGATGTGTACAAGAATAAGAAAAGTTCATAAATAAAGAGAAAAGCTACATTAAAAAATTCAATTATTGCTAAATATAACATGAAAATAGTACAAGTAACGAGATTTGATATACCCTTAAAGCATCTTCAAGAGTAGGAACTTTCTGATCATCAAAAACTTTTGGAAATTGAAGTGCTGCATCCAGTTCATTTATCTACATGCAAAAATTAAAGATACTGATTGCATTACTAACAAGTCAAATTCTATTTTAAATTGCAAAAAGGTGGATATACATATTCAACAGCAGGTACCAAAATCTACATATTTTATAATATAAGCAAGGACGCTTAATTATTTAATCTTGATCTCACAATTGATGCAAAAAAAAAAAAAAAAAAAAAAAAAAAAAAAAAAATAGATATAATAACCTTGTGCTGTCTCAAACTAAGTAAGGATGGGTTCGAGAAATTTTATAATTTTTTACATCCTATGTAATCCGAAGTCTTCATTTCACCTCAACACTCTCAAGTACTGGTATTTGATCTTTGACACTCTGATAGAGACCCTTGACATTTTCATATAGGAATTCAGATCAGACATATTGAAAGTTTTCATATAATAGTTGAGTCTAATTCTCAGATATACGCCATGCTGAAACAAGTACCCAGATCAGAGTAATAAACAAGAAAAATATTGCTTCCATGTGAGTTCAATCAATACAGAAGAAGGGGAAACAACCAGGATTTGTGCAGCAGTTTGGTTTACTGGGATAGAAGGTATGCAACAAAAGAGTGTCCCTTGTCCTACTCAAATTGAAGACTGTCCAGGAAGGAATATTAGTTGTATACCATATATTTATATAAGCAACGAATACAGTTCTCCAATAAGGATGTGTGTAGGAAAGCAAACCAAGTGGCTTAGAATTCTTACGGCGACAATTAGAACTAACAAGTAAACAAAGATACTCACTTCTTTCATACTCAAGTAGCCCACTCTAGAAGTATGATTTCCAGATATCCGCTGCAACTCCCTGTCTGTGCCAAATTTGAATCAATCTCAAAAAAACTTCAAAACCATAACTTTATCACTTGAATTATTGACAATTTCCAAAATAGTGCCATTCTAGAGAATTTCTTACAAAATGAATGCTAATCTCACTCCCCTTTACTTGTTCTCCCTCCATTTCTACAATGACCCCTCTTAAAGGACTCAACAAATTTCTGTGCTACAAGTGACATTTATTACTCAAAGATGTTGACATCAGCAAAAAAAATCTCTGAGATGAGCCAATAAATTGAGTAAGAAGGGGCATTCGCATAAAAAAATTCCTTGATGGCCTGACCTTATTGTTGGATAATTCTTACTTTCTTAACCCTTATATTTTCCCAATTCCAACAATGAAACTCTACAAGTGGAGAATGCTGAACCTAGTCACACAACCAAATGAATTTGATAAAGCCATAGTTGCACATAAAGAAAATCTAGATCACTCCCTCTGTCCTTTTTTATATAACAGGGGGGTTTGGCACCAAAATTAAGGCACAATGCTACCAATAAAGTGTAATGCATTGTGTTTGGTAGCGTTTAATAACTTCAAATTTCTTCTCTCTTACCCTGATACCCTCCACATGTCTCAGTTGCATGCCTAATTGGAAAAATGTGTTGGAATTCTGATGATAGTTTAATAGGAACTCCATCAAACAATAGCAATGCCAAAAATGAAAGCAAAGAAACATCATGAAGAGTTAGACAAATAAGTTGATAGCTTAATATACCTGTCATGCAGTGCAAAAAGAACTCCATCAGCTGAACAAGAAACATCAATTTCAATGCAGTCTACTCGAGAACGAAGAGCACTGCGATAGGCAGCCATCTGTAATCACCATCGAATAGAATTGCATTTAATCTCAATAGATCTTTTACATGAGGATTCCTAGTAGTTTTCTGTTATGGAGAAGGATGTGTTTGGTGGGAAAAGGGGGGGATATTTTAGGCAACAAGAACTTTACAAGTCCAAAAGTCCACCGTAGTGATCTGTAAAAGGCAATAAATAAGCAATCATACCGTATTAGGGAAAGCATTGGTCGAGTCACCACCATGAGCACAAACAAGAGGTGGGTGTCTCATCCAACCACAATTCTTCATTTGTATCTACAAAAACTCAATGTAAAGGATCTAGTCATACACCAACATTGAGTGTAACAAGGCTCGCCTAATATGAAATGAAAACCTCAGGCGTCAAACTTCCACACTAAAAAAAGGTAATACTTCGTATAAGATTCTAAGCCACTATGAAACTTGAAATTTGTATGCATTAAAACTGAGATAATGTAAGTGAAAAGCATGAAAATGGGGAAATCTTAAACACGACAACGGGGTTTATATAAGCTAGGGGAGTTCTTAATCTCCTACCCTTTTAATCTACCACTGCAAATTACTTAATTCCATATGAACTCTATCACTCTAGGAAAGTGTAGTGCTCATATGAATTAAGCATAATGTTTACAGCAATTTCCATTATACAGTATACACCCGAGTGGCCAGTGCATCTTACACTTTTTTTAAATGAACAAAATATGAGTGTGGGATTTTCGTTCACGTAGTACACCCGGCTGTACAACAGACACCTTAATTTAGCAGCGAAAATCAAAACTTTTTCCAATCTAGCTTTGAACTAAGTATAACCATACATAAATCACAGCTAATAAATCAACTTTCAATAGGATGACATCAAAGATGATCCAAGAACAACACAATTGATCATTTCTTACTTGGATTATTCAGCACCAATAAAAATCACCCGAAAATAAAGCTACTTCAAAAAAGCAGTAAGTAAAGGTGAAAATGGGTACCTGGTAAAAACGTCTAAGACGAAAGTGGAAGAAGATAGGAGGAGCAAGAGCAATGACAACCAGCAGCATTATAAGATTCCGGTAGTTTCCGGCGAGTCTCCGCCATGTACGACTCCAATTGAAGTTTGAATCATCTTTACGCCACCCAGTTTGTAGCAGCCGTTGTTGTCTCCGCCGCATCGCCGCCGTATAGTGAGGATTCCGCATTCGCCGGACTTATATAGCGGTGATTCGTGATTACTACAGTAGCTTCGTGTGAGATCCACTGTAATTATGTTTTAGCTTTAGAGGAGAATTAAGAAATGGTTCAATGGTTGGGAGATGGTTTAATTGAAGCTGATAGTGACTCATGTTATGTTTACTTTCACCTGACGTTCAAGTACTTAATGTAGCTTTAGAGGGTAGTTCACCACTTCAAAGCGGAACTAAATTGAACTGGACTAAATTGAATATTGAAATCTTAATTATTCATATTTTTTTGGATTTTTTTTAAATGGCATAGGGGAAATTAATTAGATTTTGGGATCTATTCCAAAAATTTGAAAAATAAATGTGCAAGGAATTGTTTGAAAGATAAGCAAAAACTAATCGTAATCTAATATGAAATACTATATGTTGTACTCTGTGTTCTAATCTTCCTCGCATGTGTTACATGTTAAAGGAAAAATATCAATCATTTATTGTGATTTAGTCTTATAAATAAAACTATCTTTAAAAGATTATAGACCGGATCGAGGTGTGAAAAATTATTTATCATTTCAATTTCAATGGGATGAGATACTCTAAAAGACTAGAAGTATGTTTAACTATATCTTGGATGATCATTTTAGTTCTGACCAATTTTGATAGAATAACAGGCACTTGGTCATAAAGGTGTTAATTTGATGACTGGGTTGGATTGGATATAGTTTGCTAAACCAATATTTTCATAACCACATACAAGTTAAAATCTGAATCGGGTTATTTTCGAGTCAACTCAAATTAGTTTTTAAACTTGTAGGTATTCATTAAACGCGCTAAAAAAATAAATAAATAAATAAATAAAAACTGTAGCAATCAAAATTCAAATAGCAGGAGTTGCAGAAGGGGCAGAAGCAGAGCATTTGAGTTTTGAGGTGCAAGATTTTGAATACAAAGGCTGAAACGCTCTTCAATTTCCATCAACATCAAAATCAAATCATTCAAACTCAAACAATTTTCTCTCTAACTCTCTATCACTCTCGTCTTCTTCACTTTCTCTCTCCAAAACCAGCACAACAACAATGGAGGAATACTTGCAATACATGAAAACTCTTCGCACTCAGATGAACGGTTTTCTCTCTCCTCTTCTCTCTTTCTCTCGAGCTTTTTCTCTGATTCCGACGATGAGCAGAAAACCTAATTTTCGTTGTTGCGAACAGATGTTGAAGATCAAGCGGCGAAGATTTCTGTTGAGGAGCAAATGCAAATTACTACTATTCACACTCTCGAGAAAGATCTCAACTCAGGTACACAGCATTTTTTTGTTTCCTCGTTCTGCAATTTCTGCCTAATTTTCGTCTTCGTCTTCGAATTAGATTGATGTGTTTTCATGAGCTTAATTCAAAATTACGCGCGCTTTCTGAAGGAATTTCAAATTATTTGATGCGAAGTTGTAATTTGTATAATTGCATTTATATTGAGAATGATGATTGTGACGATGTTTCAGCGAAATCGGAAACGAAGCGAGTTGTGGAGGAGACTGATCAATTGGTTAAGAGTAAAGCTGAAATATGCTCTAAAATTTTGGAGTTGCAGAAAAGAATTACCTCTTTGGAATCTGATTCCTTCAACTTGTCCCAGGTATGCATTTTTCCTAATTTGTTTAGAATTTCAGTTTACTTTGCTAGAATTGATCAATTACAGGCATTTAGAAGAATTAGAACTCTACATTGTTAGCTACATGTGTAAATTAGGAAATTGGATAGATCACTTGTTTATATGCTGATTATGACTAATTAGTAGCTGTGTCCAGTCAAGTGTTCTTATTTACTTCGTAATTGTTTACATTTTGATGATAACAACAAAGACGGTATATAAATGTTAAAATCATATATATAGGCCAAGCTCTATAGTTATTTGTTTGAAAAATTGCATGATATTTTCATCCTTGCTATCCTGCAGCATTTCATTCAGAATTTTCAAATCTAATTGTTGTAAATTTTGATGCAAACAACAAAGATGGTGTGCAAAAGTTAGATTTGTATGGCTAAGCCTAGTATTGTAGTTGTGTGTTCGAGGTTTGCAATATATCTTATCCTTGCTATTTTGCATCATTCCATCCACACTCAATGGTGCTCTGTGCTCAGTAAAAGAAAATATGCTAATAAGAATTTTGGTTCTTATGATTTTTTTTGGCAGACTTTGGAACTTACTCGACAAGAGAAAAGCAATTTTACAGCAAAAGTGCTTGAAAAGAGGTGATACAGTAGATTGTGCTTGTAGACAAAGCGCATTGATTTTGTAATAAGTTTCTGATTTGTCATTCTGTTGCTTCCAGGGCGTATTATGCCAAGGTTGTTGAGGATATGAACTCTAAATTGCAAGAACAGAAGGTTAAATATCGCTTTCTTCCCTTGTGATTTCTCACTATGTTGGGAGAGATTTGTTACCAATCTTTGGGTGGTGTTTTGACAGGACTGGCTGGATAATAAACGGCGTAATGAGGTAAGGATTGGTATTGTGTTTAAGTGGATAGTGGATTAGGTGGTTGTTGTAGCCTTCAGTGCTCATCAGAAAACTGGCTTCGTTGTCTGCACGACTCACAATAGTTTATCACTGATATTTTATTTTATATTGAAGAGCACAACCAAGTATCTATTTCTGGAGTATTGCTAATAGGCAGTTTATTATGATACTTGTGTGTGCACATGATCAAAACTATCGTCATTTGCAGTATTTCTTTATGCTTCTGTCTATTACTTCTCTAGAAACCAAAATAATTCAACGTAATTCGGTTGTTCTTTCAAGTTTTATCAATAATATTATCTCCTCACTGCAATTATATCAAATCATTGACTCATCTCCTATGAGGATAAACCTAAACCGCTAAACTTTGTTTTTGCAGCCCCATGAAGACAGTAGCATGCAAATTGATATGACTCAAGGTATAGACAATTAGACAGTAACTAGTTGGAATTGGTTTAAGATTTGATGCAGATCCTATCACAATCCTGTAACATGTCAACAACTCCCTCATAACCACCCTGAAATACAACTATACAAGGAACAGATTAACGGGGTTATTCTGGCAGCCATGATGCATATAGCTTCTCATGTGACAGAGCATATCACTATTCGTTACATTAACTTTATCTTTCCACTTGTAGTCTTTACATGTGACCTCGGTATTGTCACATAAATTCAGTTTCCATGATGCATTTAAGAGAAGTTATTTCCTGCCAATGATTTGAACAGGAAAGACCCTGCTTTATATCAGAAAGAAAATGTGAGTTTGATAAAACGAAGAGAAAAGAAGCATTTCACGCTTTTTCTGTAAAAGTTCTACATGACAAATTACACATTAGAATAGTTGAATGCCAGTATTTCTACCCAAACACCTTAGGATGGTTTTACAGCTGGCTGTTGAGAGGACTCGGAAACATTTAGTCTATATTTCTATTGATGGCTTACTCAAGATGTGTATGATGAGCTTATTCATACTATGTTGAATGAACCTTGCAGAAGAATCTAGCAAGGGTCCGGTTCCTTGTAGCTCGGTATGAACATTTTCCAGGAAGTTCTTGTTCAGGAAAATAATTGTATTCCTAGCATCTTACTGGATTATAAGCTTCATAGGGAGATGAGGACAAGATGCTTTTGCTGGAAAAATTGCACACTGCACAATCTAAGCTTGATGAGGTTATCTCTGCAAAAACCAAACTGGTTTCAGAAAACATTGAGGTTGGCTTCACTGTTATAGATTTGTGCATTTTCTTAAAATCAATTTTTTGTTTGTTATAGAATTTGAAATTTTTGCTCGACTTACCAGTGCCGTCAGACTTGGTGTTATATCTTCACTGATGCTTTATATCTATTCTGATGTCTCAGTTGAAGCAATCCATCGAGCAGTTAAAGAGTGAAATAAATAATCTCAAGGTAATGTATCTACTTTCTCCCCTTCCCACCCTCTCCTCCCACGAGTTTGGAGTTAAGTTTGTTCCTTATGTCGATTTCAATTACAGCCAGAGTTAAGTGCCACAGAAGTGATTACGCTGGAAGAGGAACACAAGGCTCTCTTGTCTGAGAAGAATGGGGAAATGGAGTACATGCAGAGTTTGCAGAACCAACTCGAGAAACTAAGGGTACATGTCAAAATGCCTTTTAACTTCTCTGCAGTTGCATGTTTGCTAAAATATACGTTGTTTGCTTTTAATTATTATGTACTGATAAAAGATGGCATGATCATAAATGTCAAGGTGTACTGATTCTACTAAATAGTATTGAATTACTTATGTTTTGTATTTTTTTAGGGAATTTCACATGTTATCAAGTGTGCATGTGGAGGGGAATACAAGGTGGAAGTGGGCCTTTGTGATATGGGGGAATAATATACCATTGAGTGATTGTCTCATTGACATCAACCGTGAATGAATTTTGCAAGTCATCATCAGATACTATCGAGTTATGGATTCAGCCTCGTTGGTAAACTTGCCAGTTAAACATTGCAGGAAACTTTCATGCTTTTGTTTAAAATCATGAAATGTTGAACTTAAATACTGCACACAATCAGATTACATGATGTATGATTTCAGATAACCAGTTGGCCAATGATGCCCTTATTAGTCATCGTAGTAAATATTGTAATTTTTTTAAAAGTTTGATTTCAGAATCCCAGAGCTGTTTTTTGCAGATTGGTCTTGGGATTTTCAGTCTCTTGTTACATGATACAAATATTGTGATAATATTTTTGATGTAAAAGATGAAGTCAGAAACATAATATTGCTGTGCGTTTGCAGTGTACTTGATTATTGTCCATCAGTAAAACTATTGCAGCATACCTCTTTTGTATTCTTAACTATAAAGGCTTGCTAATTTGGGCTGTTGGGACGTACCTTGGTCTGTTGTGGCAACAATGTAGTTGTAACTTGTAAGTATGAATAGGTGAATCTAGTCAGGGGCTTGGTTGACACGTATGTTACCGTTCTATAAAATGTTCAATTGCAAAAAAAATAAAATAAAATAAAATAAAATATTAAAATAGAATAAAATGTTATCATTAAACATCTTTAAAACAAAATTTGTCCTCCACCCCACACCCCCCAGGGTCTCCTGCATACATGCTGGCTCTTCCATCTCTACTGAAGCAAAATCGTGCACCACTTCCATCTTAGCCTCTCATCAACAAGCTGGAAGTTTTCTTAGCAATTTAGAATGTAAGTATGCAGAGATTCCCGGTTCCATCCTTGTCATAGTGGCTCGTTCAATTTTGGCTATACCTCCATTCCCTGCTTGTGCTGTAATTTTCAACTGCTTTTCACTTTCAAATTTAGATTTGTTTTCCACATAAAACATCGAATAAGCTTACTTGCTAATTTTGCCTGGCAAAGCTTTCAGGAAAGTGAGCAGACTTCATAGTTCGTGGGTCAGTTGTTTGACACTGAATTCGGCATATTGGAGCTTTTGTTTAACACTATAAGAGAATGTCATACTGTTGAATTTTTTTGGCTAAATACATTTGCATTTTAAACAATTTGATCTATACTGCCTAATTCCTACTGTATTTTTACCATTATAATTCTTGTACTCATTCTTGCATTACAGCACTCGTCAAATATCATGACCTCTAATATAAATTTTTTATTTTTAAATTTTTTTCCTAAAAATATGAGGAAACAAATTTGCCAACTACTAAAATTGAGTACTGATGAAGTTTTAAACGGTTCAAGCTTTTTTTCTTCTTTTTTAACATAGGCAAAATTGCAAAAGCAATGTTCATTCAACTCGAAACAAGAGCATAGTACTTCCAGGCATAATAGGCATGGCAGATGAACTGCAACTACTTCACTACTTCAGTTTAGAGCTAGGTGGAGTTTCTTAAAAGTGCCAGCTTACAATTTTTTGCTAAAATTTTCCTCAAGATCACAAGATAAGAAACTTTTTCAGTGAAATATCTCATCAATATACACAAGATGCCAACAACCTCAACTTTGTCAAATCCCTAACAAATTTTTTTGAGTTTTTATCCAATGATGATATACATTTTGGAATACACAGCTATCCCACGTAAAAGAAATCACACTGCTTCCTTATTGAAGAAAATAGGCTTCTTCAGGCCATGGCCTCTCCAACCTGAAATGCAACACATCATCAAAATAATGTATAAACTCCTCAGAAAGACAGAAAGGTACAGAGCAACATATAACAGCGATACGCTAAGTATATAACCATCTCTAACTAACTCCCCAAACTCCAGCTTCCTGGTGGTCTGGAGTCATGGAAATGCATGATGTTAAAGAAATTGCAACCCATAGATAGCCACCACTCTCTGAAACAAAGGTAGAATGTTGGTTTTACACATGCCATTGAAAGTAATTATTCTAAAGTCTGTCTGAAAAATAAAATCAGATATAACTACACAATAGATCCAACCAAATATAAAGGGATAAATAGAAATTTTTGAGCAGTCAAATTTTCAATTTAGTAACTCTATAACGGATTGGTTTTATATGGAAAGTTTGGTCTATGAACATTCCAAAGAGGTCTTCAAAGTCAAAACATTGTCTGGCAAGTTCCTCTCCCTATCATGAACTATGAACTATATAAGCAATTCTGCACAAATTAGGAACTGACCTCAATCACCTCCTGGTTTTATCAAGAACTTCAATGTATCTCTTCGGGACACCATATTGATCCATTAAATGCTTTGCAAGATGATCAATAACACCACCCTGAACCAGAACTTCATGTCCTTTCTTACCTGGATTATTCATAAATCAGACGCAAAGAGTATTAACAGCTAGATGAAAAGAGCCCAATTTTCTCCAGAAAAGAGTAATACACCACCCCACCCACACATCTTAACTCATACAAAATATCAAGAAAGTGTCCAGTAATGCAGTTTATTGACGGAAAAACACAATTATATTCAAAGACAAGGTACCAGGTAATTCAGCCACTGTGGTACTGCATGCAAACTTTTTCTGCAGCTCTGATGCCAATGATTCAGCATCCATCAGAAAAATTTCAAAACCAGATAGCTTAGTCATTTTCTTGTTCCCTTGTCGTCTCTCTGTCAAGATGTGTATTGGTTTAACAGCACCTTTCCTGATCACAGAGTCACCTCCTCTGGTCACTTTGTGATGGGCTTGCATTCGACTCAAAAAGTGTTGTCACTAAATCCTTCTTATGAATTTCAGTTGGGTACGCTGTTCCTTTTTTAATAGCTCCCTTGAACAAAGCATCACACAGTGTAGCATCTAATATCACCATTGCTTTGTTTGTAGGCTTTACGAGATTCTCCTTCTCGACATATGCAAACGCAACATTAGCAGCCTCTGATGCAGTAAAAATTGCTCCAGTATCAGCTCCAACAGCAGTAAATATAGCATTGACATGAATGCTTGGCTTATAGACCTCCTCTATCTCCAATAATTTCTGTGATTGAGAGTCAGCAGCAGCCTGTTCACTGCTTTCCTCAACCTTATCAGGTTGCCTTTTTTCAGGTTTGAAGGATTTGTAATCTGCATGGTTCCGATTGACAGAAAAAAGTACCACTTCCTTTTTATGTTTATCCTCTTTTACTGTAATCTGTACACCATATGAAAATAAATAATCAACTCACAAGGCTGTACTAAATATAAAAAAAACAATAAGCATACACAAGTAGATCATGAGGAGCTACATGCCAAAGTAGATTCAAGAAAATGAATATAACAAGAGTCACCCAACAACATAAAAATCAACCAAGCGGGGAGAAAATCAGATGATAGGAGCTTGGTATGACCAATATTGGTTCTTCCCTAAATTTCCCTGAACAGTTTGGCAAGGTAAAGGCGTAAAGCTTCTGTTTGGATGTGTGAGCATAGGAAGAAATTGCACAAACAGTATTCTTACTCACCACTGTAAAGAGCTGAAAACTTGTAGAAAGATCATTTGGTGTCAAGGGAAAATCTGATCCAGTCTCTGATCATTTATCAGCTGACTAATTGGGGCGTGAAGAAGTAAAGAGATCGATGAAAGTTCTTAACAGCAATGCCAAAATGTTATTTGCAATTATATGGTACATTTAATTAGTGAAAAGCCTTGAAACAGACCTTGGAAAAAGTGACCTGACTCAAAAAAGTGGAAAATCTAATTCTTGATTCTAGAACATGACTTTCAACCCCAGAACACAAAAGGCAGGGAAAAAAACACAATTAAAAAATTGGCATGACATGAACCTAAATTACCAAGACAAAACAGACCTAACTAGTTACCAGCCTATTTGCCAGGTTCATCTAAAAAAGACTCTAGCAGAATTTAGGAGTTCCCTACCAACCCACAGATCAATTCAACTTTTATCAGTGACTCAAAACTAATACAGTTGCCAAAAATGCCCCTAAATTTCGTTACTAATACGGTAATACTTGCAGCTGATTATTAGTTACATGACTTTTGTAATGGTCACTCAAATGAGATCCTTTATGGAAACATCTTAAAACCTTCTCATACAAGGAACAGAATTCTCTTGCTCCTGGTATAAAGAGGAAATGGCAATAAGAAGGATCCCCTAATGAGTAGTGGAGTTGTGATCAAGAGTTCAAGACCAAGTCATAAGAGAATCTAGGTCTGGCTAACAAGGTGACCTAAGTGTGCTTTGGCAGTGCAATGGCTTCACCTTGCCAACTAAATATGGGGTCTAGGAGCCTTATATAAAGGATCGTGAAAGAATTTAAAACAATCGCTTTTATTTCACCTCTTCTAACATTCTTTTTGTTGTAACTACAAGGATATCTCAATAATGTCCAACAGCTGTATATTTCAAGAGAATGGAAACTCAAAACAAAGCCATAGCACAGTTGTATATTTCAAGAGAATGGGAACTCAAGACAAAGCCATAGCAGAAGGCGATATTCAAATCCCTTGTACTTGAGTTAGCCACACACACACACACACACACACACACAGAGAGAGAGAGAGAGAGAGAGAGAGAGAGAGAGAGAGAGAGAGAGAGAGAGAACCACTCCAGCAGACGCTTTAGATTGCAACCATTTTGACAACTTCTTGAAAGACGACTTTTTGATATCAAGAGTAATGCCAGATGGTCTACATGGTAAAACATGATTTGCCCTGGGTCATAATTAAAGAGAATCTGTTACAAAACTGATATAGTATAATATGAGACCTGTCCTTTCAGGAAAGAAAAAGTCAATGGGGGAAAAGAAGCAAAAATCACTAGTTCGCAATATGCCACAAGTCCAGTTATAGGACTATAATCAATAACCAGACAATCTTCCAAACAATGAGAATGAAAGACTAACAAGACACCAAAAGATAAACTAAAGATCCCCCCACCCTGTATATTCCACATAAGGTCATTCAATTTTGGTAATTTGAACATAGATGTCACCATAACAATATTTGTCTTACCATAGAGTACTTCCTGGCATTGGAAGATCCTTATCCTTCACTGTCGTATGCAAAGCTTGCAGTAGACACCTGTCCAACAGCACATCCACATCTTTTGTCGACAGGGATTGCTGGTTCTCACTTTGCACTGCATCATTCTCCACCGTCGTCAAGCCACCCAACTCTTCAGCAACTTGTTCAGAAATATCATCATTATTATTATCCAAGTGAGAGGATGAAGCAGGATCATGTTCAGAGCAAACATTATTCACAACATCCGGATCCATTGCTTCTTCATTGTCACTCTTATTATCAACAGAACCATCGCCTTCACATAGATGAGAAGCCATGAAAGAAGGATCAGGGAAGACTGCATCTTCAAAAAAACCAGCATTTGGCACAAAACGACCTTCAACTGATTCCCTGAAAAACAAGGAGTCCAGCAATTAGAGATCAATAAGCTTGGATTGAAGAATTAAGCAACTATTACACTTACCATAGATAATCATGATAATAGTGTGTTATTCTTAAAGCCTTTCCACGTAGGCCAGCTTTCAGCGCTTCAGCACTACTCATAGTAGTTGCGCCAACCTGAAATTATAAGATAATTTAAGTAAACTGAAATTCGTAGGGGATTTTAATTGGCGCCTAAAAATTGTCACAAAAAATAAAGGAAAAAAAAATCTATTTTCCAAATGCCTACCGCAATAGGAGCAGGATTGCCGGGAACCTTTACTGACCATGGCTCACCAGCAACAAATGATGGAAAGCCTTCTGGTGGTATACAAATACCAGGGAACATCAAATCCGCCCCTCCAATTATAAATCGAGAGACCTCTCCCCCCTTTAGCATGAAAGCAGGAAGGAGGTCAGGGACCTTCCAGAGAGCATAAACTGTTACGATTGAGTGTGAAGATTAGGTTAGCAAATATGCTCATTTAAGATGTATACAAGGACATTATGATTCCTCCAGTGAAAAGGAAGAGAGGAGAAGAGTCGTTTTCCCCATTCAATATTTAGATGAAGAAAAAACTATGTGTAAACTGTACTGAGCTATCAAAGCAAGAAAAATCTTAGTACCCAACTAAAGTTCAGAGGAAACCAACCAAGCTCATGGTTAACAGAAGAAGTGTAAAATTAATTATTCTATCAGCACAGTGGCTTAACTTTACATTCTATCTCCATTCGTAGTTAGCACAACTGAATGCAACTTCAAAGTATCAAAGTCAGGTGAAGGCTTGAAGCCAAGAAAGAGCAGAAACTACTCCCTGAATCTTATAACTAAAGGCCCATATTCCATCTAGGATCTTAAAGGCAACCCACCACTTCCACAATATAATAATACTATTTATTACAGTGGAAACAAGGAAGCAACCAAGGGACAGAAAAAACTAACATTAGGAATCTCATATAGTAAAGATGCCCCAATACCCAAACATTATTAGAACTATTTGAAGTACTAACTTTGCCTTTATGTTTATATCTTTAAGTGTAATATACAAAGTAAATAGAAGCAAAAGTTGACAAAGAAGAAGGAAGCTGTACCAGTAAGCATATAATGAAACACAAATTACTAAATTAGATGTATTGATGGCAAACAATAGAAGAAGATATTTCACCTGTTGGATATAACTCCGAACCTCTTCCATCAGCATCAAAAAACATAGGAAATCCACCTTCTACACCATAGACAAGGACTCGATTTTGAAACTTTGCCAAAGTGATCTCCCCCTAAACATTTTACATAGCCCATAAGTACAACAGCAGATGCAGAAGTAAGAGACTTCCTTATTGCCATCCCCTCTCAACAACTAAACACCAAAACCAACAACCGATCTACAAATCAAAACACGCTCATATAACACTACAGTTTTGATTGAGAACCCAGAACTCAACATACACGTGAGTCGTCCCACATTAGATAAAAGAAGCTCCTTGTAGAACTGAACATTATTGAAGCTAGTTGGCAGTTTGACTGTCCTCCTTCATGGGCAACTCAAGCCCATTTTCATAAAAGGTTCAAAACAAAAAGGTTATGTTATCCAATCCTCTTGCACAAATTTTAGTCAGCCCTTCAAACATTATAGTATCAAACTTTTTATAAAATCTATCCAACATATAATTCGCCTCCCGGTATGCTCATATATAGAAGCACCCAGGAACAAAAAAATGTGAAAGGTTGAAATTTAACACCCGTGTGTACGAATACCGTGAAAACTTTTTAACCCAATACAACATCGAATGCATATTTTTGTGCAAACCTCAGCTCAATAAGAATTCAGTACCAATTTTTTACATGATTTCATCCTAAAACCAGCCCTATGAATCAATTTATACACAAATTCAACGACAAAAACAATCACAAAATCATCTATAACTTACACAAAACATAAAAATTAATATACAAAACAACAAATGTCATTCATACAATTGAAAAGGCAATATTAAAAATACAAGATATAAATCAATCAAAACTTAAAAACTCAACCAATTAAGAATGAATTCATAACATAACAATTGGGTAAAATGGAAAAAGGGAGTTAAGCTACCTTAGGAGGAAGAAGGACATCAACATCAGCATCAGAAGCTCGGGAGAACTTTTCTTTGACGCTTCTTCGCAACTTTTTCTTATCAGCGCCTGATAATCTTTGCAATGACTTCGCTTCGACGGCCTTCTTGAACATTTTTCAAACACTTAACGAAGTTTTCCGGCGATGACGGTAGTTTGGGTTCAAAGCTTTTCAATGGTGCCCGATTTTTCTAGAAATTGGAGTTTTGCCCAATTTATACGAGTTCGTGAGATGGGTAGTGTTGGGTAATATTACTCTTTCTGTTCCGTAATAATTTGAACATACTCTATACGGAATAGCATTTACCCTGCATTATCGTATGTGGTATTGGTACATGTCATTGATAAAAAAAACATTCTTTCATCTTTCATTCGCACATCTTGCATAGTATCTTAGTGAGATGAAAGTAATTTTCCTTATATTGTTTACAATAGTAGCGCAATTAGACCTCACAAAATTGACTCATATCCGATTACCTACCTGACTCGAAATTATATCTAAAACCATCTGACACGATATGACATGAGCCAATAATGAATGTTTCTATTTCATTAAAATAAGCATATTGACAATGGAACTGAAAATGGCCCAACTGGAGCTAAACCAAGATTAACTTAAACAAGTCTTACAAAAAATAACAGGACTGGAATTAAACCAATCTGAATGACCCAAAGGCCACCTCTAAGAGCAACACCCTCCATAATAAGTGGTAGGTTAAATGCATATTACCTAATCAAAGATATTCCCACTAATCAGGTAGGCAGGAAAGTAGAATCGAATCTACAAGGAAACATTGTCGTATTTAATTTTAGTAATTAACTGAACGTCCGAACCTAATTAGGTATTTGTGTGTTTGTCTAGGCTCTGGCTGCAAAATCCCACCTAAGCCCAAGACATGAACTCAATGCTCCAATTCGCATCCAAGTGTTCTCCAAAGCATGAGCTTTCTTATAGCAGTCTAATAAGAATGGGAATTAAATACACTAAATTCTATAAAATAAAGCAAACATTTAGCAAACACTATTCAACACATATTACAAATTAGTTAAAGAGCACAATTGGAACTAGTAATAGCTAGGACTAAGGGTAAAAACTCTATATAAGTAGACATATCAACAATTCACTTAGATTAATTAGTTAGTCCTTTGTTCTTTGCAACACCACCCTTTTTTTTTCCTATCTATCAGTCTATCACAAATAGTATGTCCTTATCCTACTACTAACTAAGTAATAAATGTTTCAACTTACTTCTATATGTTGAATAATTTAGAGTATAGTGGGATAAATTCATGTTAATTGATTAATTTACTTAGGTTTAGGTTATGTGAATTAATTAATTAAGATTATTACTATTAGAGCAAATAACCTTGATAGAAAGGAAAAAAAATCTCGGTGATGAGAAAAACACATTTCGGGTTGGAGAAGCCAAGAAAGTCGCCCATCTGTTGCCCGATCTGCTGCTCGGTCAGGGTGGTGCTCGCCCGACTGGGCGAGAGGGTGGTTGTAGGACGTTGCTCCGCCGCCCTACCGAGCGCGAGAGAGAAGAAAAAATTGGAAGCCCTGCTGCCCGGTTCTCTGTTTTATCGCCCTATAGGGCGCGAGTCTTCATTTTGGATTTCATGGCCTCACCGCCCGGCAGGGCCACCACCGCCCGCCGGGCGCGAGAGAGTCCTTGGTTGCGTCGTTCGGAATGGCCCGATCGGGCGGTCGTCGGCTCGGCAGGCGCGTGTGAAGGCTGGAAGTCTCTAACGGTTGTTTGTCAGTTTCTTCATAATGTTTGGCTGCTTTATTTGCTCTAATATAAATATGTTCAGAGAACATATGTTGAAAATAACTTCAAGAAAAATCAGTTTAGCATTTTTCTCTTGAAACCTTTTGCAAGTTTTAATTACCGTCATCATAAATTCTCAAATTTTGTTTTACATTAGACCACAAATATACTACACACTATTGTGGTTGTCTTCGTTGTATCTCCTAATAATTTCGTGATACTTGGTGTGTTTAATAAGGGTCGAAATATTATTTTGGGAAAATGATTTTGTTCACGCCTCGAACTGTTAATTTGTCAAAGTTCGTTGCGATTTTAGTGACTCGGTAATCTTTTTCCCCAACACTATCTTCTTTAATATTTGTAATGAACCTCTTCGTCCATATAAGTTAACAGTGTTTCTATTTTATGAATGGCGAATTGTTCTATGATAAATGTATATCTATTACCTTGACTAGATATTCATGCTTTTGAAACTATATCTTTTGAGATAGCATCATCTAAGGGTCTTCACTCATCATAACAAATACAGAATTAGAGAAGATTGCTTCCCTAATAACTTTTGTGCCATAAAAAGTGACATCGAGTGGAAGTGATATTGTTTTTTATTTTTTATTTTTTTTCCTCTCCTTAGTTTATCTACATTTCTACTCACGTGATTTTCAAACATATAAATGATCTTCGTTTAGTTAATATAGAGGTAAAGTTGTCAACTTGATCTTCCATGATATAATGGCCATTTGGTTGCAACAGTTCCTTAACCGCAATTAATTATGTCAGCTTTTTCTACCAAGATCTACCTTTTTGCCATCACAAGATATTCTTTTTTTTTTGTTGAACTTACTCAGTTATACTTAGGGCTGAACCCTAGCTTCAGAAACCTAGGTCCAAGATCCTACATCAACTCGACTTGGTTGGTAATTATGCAAAATGTCTCATATAAGGACATCTACAAACAAGCCGCATCGTTAAAAATCTAATTAACTTGTGAAACCTACACGACTCGACCCGTTTGCTAACTTAGCGGTGTCACACATAAGAATATTTGTTGGAGACGACAAAGTCACATAACCCCAAAGTCCATAAGCATAACACATAACCTCTTTTTCGCACTTCTTTCACGAGCACCCGATTTCGCCGCCACTACCGGAGATTACAATCAACTCTGAGAGAGTAGCATCAGGTAAAATTAGGGTTTTTCTCTCTCATCATCTTCTCTTTCTTACCAATTTTGCGCATCAGATTCCTCGATTTTGACGCCTTTTGCTCTTCGCCATCACTAAACTTCTTCCAATCTTCGATTTACTGTACTTTACTGCTTAAAATCCTTAATTTTTCTTAAAGCTGTGAAATTTTTGGTTCTTATCGGAGAATTTCTTGTTGCTCAGGTGTTATCATCGTATTCTAAGAAGCTAGTTCGTTGATCCAAACACTAATTATGGGTATGCCTAAATTTGATCTTTAATTGCGTTATTTATATATTTTTTTTAGATTTTTAATTCTTAAAGGTTATTTTTTGCATCATAATTTTGGTGTGAAAAATGTAATTCTTGTATCACCTAATTCCTATAATTTTTGTTTGATGTATGCGTTAAATTTTGCATATTTTTTTTTAAATTTCCTTGTTAGACTGGCGTTATCATGTATATATAGGTTTGAAGTTTGGATTATTGGTGATTCCTGTTGTTCGAATGTTTTTCGGATAGCTATAAATATTCCAGGCTAGTTAATTTCAGGGTGATTTTCATCATTGCAATTGGCATTTTGTTAATACTGAGTAAACCTGTATCATTGAACAGACTGTTTAAAAGACCGTCTTTTTATTTTGTTTGTTTCCTTATTTATACTTTTTGAATGCCATGTTGCGCTGTTGCGTACGTCGTACGAGACTCATCATGGGCATTGGGCCAATTTACTGGTGTGACACTTCAATATGGTTCATGAGGTTAAGAGGGTTATTATGGTTTGGATTTATAAATCTTTGACCCCATTCTATTACATAATATATTCAGTCATTGTCTGCTTTCCTTTTTCCATTGGGTGCTTGGGATGGGCATGGGAAGGAGTGGCTTTGTTCATTGCTAGAAATATAAAATTACTTTGTTTGCATTCAGTATACTTGTTGATTCAGTATGCTAGAAATATTGTCTTATTTTGTCGTCACGAGTTTGTTGATCTGTCTGCTAGTCGTAGACTCGTAGTCTGTATGGATTGTAAATTGCTATGACTTAACTTCCTTATCCAAAATTTTTGTTTATGGCAGATCTTTCGGAAGATATACGCTCTCTGCAGCTTGATTCATCTGGTAATTTACTGTGCTGGACATCTGTATTTTTTCTTTAGTGTTTTGTTTGTAAATTCAATGAACTTTATCATGTTTTATACTTTTATGTGAAGTAGAAGATAGTGGTGCAATAGATGTGGAGGATATTAAGCCAAAAGAAGCTGATGGTGCAGTTGAGATGGAGGAAGGTAGACTTTTCTAGTACAGTTGTCCCAATTCTTTGTTCTATCCACGGCACTATAATCTGTATACTGAGTAGCTGCAAAAAGTGACTAGTACCAAGACTATTACCAACTATTGTCTGTATAACACTTTATGAATTTCATTTTCATGTTATGCCCACTATCTTTAGTTTTAATTGTGCACTGACACAATTACTATATCTCATGCTACTCAGTATTCTGTACAACAATCCTGTCTGAAGATCTAAGTACTATACCCTATAAACAAAAGATTTTTGTATTCTTTGTCAGAAATACCATGGCCTTGACAAATAATTTGTTTACTAGAAGTATTAGACCATGTTTTAGTTATGTTCGTAATGTTGCTACCAGTTTGCACGTATGTTATGTAACACCTCTCACATTATGAAGTTCGTACCTTTGGAAAACTAATCATTTAGAGAGATGACATAGATGAAATGTCGAGGGATTATGTGTGCATGTTTGGGTGGATAGAGAGAGCAAAGCTTAGAGCCACACACTCACACCAACAGATGATTATTTGAAATAATTAATTTATTGTTTTGGTTGAAAAAAAGTCAATGAATTAAAGAAAAGAATTACGACTCTATAAGATATCTAGTCCTCTGTCTAAGTATAAGACCTTCATTGAGGTTAAAAACTGATTTTTGTTGTCTATTACAAGTCAGATTCAAAAATAGGCCAATGGCAGCTTGATATGCTGCAGTCTTTTTGTTAATCCCTTGTGTGTGTGTGTGTGGTGTTTTTTTTCCCCATATACTTGTCTTCCCAGACTATTTATGCCTGGATAGTGAACCCTATTTCTTCCTTATTCATTTATGTTAACATCTTCTGTATCATTTCATCTTTCCTTGTTTTTTGGCGGGTTCCTTCTTAACCTTTATAGCAGTCCTTTTGTGTATTACCTAGTGAACTTTTGTAAAAAAGTAATTTAAAATACTACTCCCTCCGCTTCATATTAATCGCAACACTTTCCTTTTTCATCCGTTTCATAATAAGTGCAACACTTCCATATTTGATAAGGGTCCATTGTTATTTTATTATTTCTCTCTCATATTAATTCCACTTACACTACTTTTTTTTTTCTCTCTCTCCTACAAACAATTAAATAAATACCCCGCTAACTATACTTTATATTATAAAATTGCCATTTTAGTCACACCCTATAATTTTTCTAAAACTTTGCGCTCTCCCTGCTGTTGCGATTATTATGAAGCGGAGGGGTTATTTTTTAATCTTAGTCTGGCTATCTATCACATTTTCTTCTCTTTCCAGGCTTTTTGCCAGGATGATGAACCTTATTTTCTTGTAGTTTAATTTATGTGCACTTCTTATTTATCATTTACTCTCTTGTTCTTTTTGTTGTTGTTGAAATTAGGTGAGTTAGTCTACCCTGCATTTTTTAGATTATGTTTTTCTGGTACATTATGCGTGTTCCAGGGGGCATTTAGGCACAAAACTATGTGGTCATATGCTATTATAGGTCAGTTGCTGGTTTAGACCATGTGGCTTGCTGCTTAATATGTTTGCCTGTTTAAAGAACAGAGGCACACTCCAAAAACTTACAGAAAAGGTTTATATCCTTTAGCAATGGAGTAATAACACTTCATCCCAAAGTAATTAGGTTTCTCTAACATGTCCCTTTTACAAATATGAAGATGATTGTCAATTTGGATGATATACATGAAAATAATCTCAATTCAAATTTATAATTTTTACAGCTGCTGATTTTTCTGCTTGAAGGCATTAGTTCAATGTAATTGACTTTTTCGTTTTGTTTCCCCCAGATATTGTAGAGTCCACAAATGCTGAACAGATGGAAGTAGAGCCAAAAGGTATTATTCAGGATTTGAGATGTAGATGTTGGTTATACTCTGGCATTTTCTTCTATGTTTTATGACTATGGAGTTCATTTTGTTGTAATTACGTGTGGCTTTTATAAGATGTATTGTGCGTGCTCTATCTATCTAAAAAATTTCTGAAGGCAGACCGCTGGTCTCTGTTTTGTTGTGTGTGTGCACGTGATTATATGAGGATCCTGGTTATTTAGGCACTTATGTAGTTGGTTACATTTTTGGAGATAAATTGATTTTTGAGATAATGATCTGACTAGGGTATTTTTCATAATGGAATTTTTCAGAGAAGGAAAAGGTGGAAGCTCCTGTCCATGAAGTAAAGGAAAAGGTGGAAGCTCCTATCCACGAAGTAAAGGAAGTGAAGGATGTTGAGGAGGCTAGGAACAAGAAGCGTCACCTTAATGTCGTATCTATTGGTCACGTTGGTGAGTTAACTTTTGATGTTTCTCCATCTCTTTGCCATGTACATGCTCGTAGGAAGTGTATAAAAAGGTACGTTTAGGTGCTGAAGCCCAAGTCAGTAGAGGTCAAGTAATTTTATTGGCCTAGGTGAGGTGGTTTCAAAGAGGCATCGGAGAGGCAAACTAAGCCGCATACCTGTTTTTATTTATTTATTTATTTATTTTCTTAAAAATTTAAATAGGCTCACTGAGGCGCATAAAAGCTTAGGATCCCTCTCACCTTATTTTGTCTTGACACATTGGATGAAAGATTGAAAGCTGTGCACTTTTGTTGTGGAGCTGGATGACCTCAGATGGCCGTGATTCTTGTTCATTTATGAGATCACTTATTTTCCACTTGTGGTGTTGTACTGTTGTGGATTTCAAATCTGTTTACCTTAGTCATACCTCCTTATTTTATGCCATATTATGCTGACAAGATATCCAGGTTCGGTGGGGAAATAGGTTCTTCCTACCAGTCTTTGATAAGCAATCTGTGAATTTATCTGGAGGGGTATTTGTGTTTTTTTTCAACTCTAGGTCATGCCTTGGTTCCCCTGATCAAGTTAAGGGAGTAAATTTACTGGAGGCTTAAGGGGAAGAGAGAGGTAATATGTGAGTACTGGAGATAACATTCGGACAATAAGGGAGAAGGAACAGAACGGAAAGAAAGGTGGAGGAGAGAGGATATAGGAAAGAGATAGTTGAAGTTTGAAGAAGATCTAGAATGCAGAGGAGGGGATAATGATCGAGGGGATATAGATGGAGGTAAATGAAGAGAGATTCATGTGAGAGATGATGGAGGTCGGATGATAGAGACTAAAGAGAGTTTAGTAGTGATTGTTAAGGGGAAAAAGCTTCTCTAGGGGTGGCATGGGCAATCCAGGCGACCTTTTAGTGTTAGTGCTACCCCCTTCCCTAATTTTAATCTCCTTCTCTGGGAGCTATTCTTGTTGTAAAAAAATTTTAGATGGAATGACAATTATAATACTTGTCATTTAGTTGGGCTCTGTATGACTCTGACTCAAATTTCATCATTTGATCTTGTGGTAGTCCTTTTTGTTTCTCCATTGTTGTCCTTATCTCTGCATTATTTTTGTGTGTACCAGGGAATAAATTTGCGTAGTAGGTAAATTGTACATTAAACTAAAATTTAAAGGCTAGATTAAGAAGTATCATCTCCATAAACAGTTGACTGAATCTACCTGGTCTTGAAAAAATGCACTTGAAGTATTTTCTGCATCTTTCTTCTGCTACTGTTGCATGACACTGTCTCTTCCCTGGAGTTGGCTGTTGAGGGTGGGCCAGAATATTATCAACTCATATGTTTTTTTCCCCCCCGATTATGTTAAACAGGTTGCTTGTCATTTTATAAAGCTATTAAACTGCTTTTTGGACCTCTTATTGTTTTTCTTTAATGGCTTGGGGTATCCCAAAAAGTTTGCGATTGTGAAACATTATGGTTTTCTTGAAAAAATCTTCACATTTGGATGTCAGATGCTGGTAAGTCAACGATTGGTGGCCAAATTCTTTTTCTTAGCGGGCAGGTTGATGACCGTACAATCCAAAAGTACGAGAAAGAAGCCAAGGATAAAGCAAGAGACAGCTGGTGAGACATGCTTTTCTGTAGCTGTGTCTTCATCATTTTATATCATTGGATTTATTTATTTATTTTTTGCTTCATTCAAAATGAATGCTCGAGTAATCATGTGAATAAGATGATATATAGTTGGTAGTTTCTTGGTTGCTAGTGGAAAAAGGGCTGTTGGTGATTTCCAGAATCTAGACTCTGCCTCACTGTGAAATTTTATGAATTTTATTGCATGGTTATGTGTGCCCTTTTCTTTTATAAGTCTTTTGTAGTTTGTACTGTTACTCTTAAGACTAAAGTTCTTCCTTGGTACGTACCATTTGGAACAATAGGATAATAGTGCATGCTAAGACTATGTAACATCATCAAAATTATCTTGGAGTTATATAGGATTGGAGGTGTCATGGTTTCAGACTAATTCTTGGCTAAATTTGTATCTCTGTGCTAGGTACATGGCATACATTATGGATACTAATGAAGAAGAACGTTCAAAGGTATTTTCGTTTTGCGCCTCTGGATTGCAATCCTTGCTTGTTGAATTCATTCTGTGCTTAATTTTTAGACTTGAAACTTGCAATGATTTCATTGCTAAAGCTGTTTATATATAGGGGAAGATAGCTCATTAATTGCTTAAATGCTGATGGCAGGGTATTACAGTTGAAGTTGGTAGAGCACATTTCGAGACTGAGAGAACCAGGTTTACCATTTTGGATGCACCGGTAATTATGTTTTCATAAACTGATTTTGTCCTTTATTTCTGTCTTTGGGTTTAAAAGTTGCTTGGTAATGAAGTTCCTTTGCTTTGGAATTAGCCTCACTATTAAAAACAAAGCAGTGAGTACATGTTTGAATTTTCTTACCCAAGACAAGCTTCTCTTTTATGTTTGATTGCGTTTTTAGCCAGGTTGCATTTCTGCAAGTGAGGTGTTTTTTTTTTTGGTCGGGTTCCATTTTTCGAGTCTTGTTGATTTGCTTCTCTGCATTTTACTGCAAAAAGAAAAAAAAAGTTGGTAAAACAATGTTGGGATTGCAATGTACTTTCTATAACTGAAAATTACAAAGTTGATAGGCTATTTGTAAATCCACTTCAAGCATCTAAATCCTGAACCTCACCTCTCCATTATGTTGGTTAAGTAGGGTTGCACGGTCCGGATCCTTTATGTATGGTCAAATGCGCATGATGGGGATATGCCGGTGGCATTTTGGCTTTTTGTACTTAGGTGTTCTAACTGAAGGGGATCCTACACCATCCGAGATATCTAATTCATTCCATCATTATCTGTTAAATGACTTCTAGTCACCTTTGCTTTTAACATTTTCCTCAGTTGCAAGACTAGCAACTATAACCATACTTAGAATTCACAGTGTTGGCTTTGTACAAAGAAACTGGGGAATCTAATTCATTCCATCATTATCTTTTAAATGACCTCTAGTTACCTTTGCTTTTAACATTATCCTTTGTAGCAAGACTAGCAACTATAACCATACTTAGAATTCACAGTGTTGGCTTTGTACAAAAAAATACTTCTAATATTTGTAACTTTGAAGCACAACTGTTTGGATATAGGAACTGTAGATGCTCTTATATTTCTTGGCTTCTAATTTTTACTTAGTAGTAATGTTGCAGAAATTTTGGTATCTTAGCATTTGAAATCTTATAGCCTCCATTGCGAAGCTGTATTATATATATAGGTGAAGGATATTTATTTATAATGATACTGGTTTCTTGTGGATCAGTGTGTTTTATTAAATTGTTATTAAATCCTGTCTGCTGTATTTTATGTTTGTGCTCTTCTATTTTCTGAGCAAGTAGCATTGTGCCTTTTCGTTTTGCAGGGTCATAAAAGCTATGTACCAAATATGATCAGTGGGGCTTCACAAGCTGACATCGGGGTTTTGGTAAGTGTTAAGGGCTTTATTTTTTTTGTCCCTCAGTCTAGGTGCATTGGCTTGGAATGCATTATCTCTAAACTTTGCTATATATATATGGATGTCCATAAATGTAGGTGATATCTGCTCGGAAAGGGGAGTTTGAAACTGGATATGAGAAAGGAGGACAGACTAGAGAACACGTCTTGCTTGCAAAGACTTTGGGTGTATCCAAGCTTATAGTTGTGGTCAACAAGATGGATGAACCTACAGTCAATTGGTCAAAAGAAAGGTTTTGTAATTTTCTTTTGTCAATTTGATCCGAGATCTCAAAATTTTTAATCTCTTAATGATACCCCATAATACTTGCTTAAAATAATAATCATAGCTTTATCTTTTTCCCCCTTCTTTTTATGTGGGGCAAGGTGGGTTAGGGCTTCCTGAACAGCAGAATTAGTATTGACTTTCTGTTTATTCTTCATGTGATCTAGTCTCAGTCTCTCAGAACCTGACGAGATGTATCTGTACTGATACAACAAAACTGTAGAAGAGTGATTATAACCATGTTATTCAACCCTTACCTGGCACTTCAATTTTTATCTGATTTAGAACTCCTGTAAATAGGTGGGTGATGTGGCACTCCTGGTTCTTAAAAGAACAGTTTTAATACTGAAGATGCATCGATTGTATTGTTTTTTGCATGCACTGATTTAGAATTTTACGCTATGCCATTTTTCTTCTTGTTATTCCACCGGGCAATATTTTTTTTGCCTTCGTCCCCTGTGTTGATTAGACCTTAAAGCTTCCACCATATATTTGATTTATGCACTAGAAATGCCTATTTAATATTAGACATTTTGTTGATCATTCAATTTCATTTGTGTTTTTGTGGGGGCTATTTTATTTGATGGGTAGGGTTGGTAAATTTATTTTGAAGTCTCTCAATGAGCCATGACCATAGGAGGCCTTGAAGTTTCAACCTTTATCACTTTTTTGTCTGCCTTACATTTTCTTTCTATTTGTTCACATGGGCCTTATTGTCCTCAGGTACGATGAAATAGAGTCAAAGATGATTCCTTTCTTGAAATCTTCAGGCTACAATGTCAAGAAAGGTAGTTAACTTTTATATATGGATTTTTGTTTGGCACTTGTAGTCATTGTAGCTGTTTGCATGTGAATTTTGTTTCTATTAATGTTTTACGTCTGTAGCTGATCTTGGATTTGTTCTGTTACTTTTTCATTCCAATTCGCCTTGTTGTGTGCTTCTCTGACTTGTATTTTAATCTACTTCTGTACAGTTCCTTGGAAGTAAATAGAAAACTTTCATGAGGTTGATGCATCTATATGCTGGATTCTGCAGATAATAATATTTCTATAATTTCTTACCATTTGATTATTGGTCAACATTTGCAGATGTCCAATTTCTCCCAATATCAGGTTTGGTTGGATCAAACCTTAAAACAAGAGTAGACAAAAGTGTATGTCCATGGTGGGATGGTCCATGTCTTTTTGAAGTGCTAGATAATGTTGAAGTCCCTACACGAGACCCCAAAGGCCCCTTTAGGTACATCATGTTTCTATTGAACTTCTCTTTTAAGGATACTGTTCTTCTCTATGATATATGCATTTTCAAAGTTGCGGAAATTATGGGCATTTATGCGAATTTTTAACCAGTCTTGCCTGTGATCTGGAGGAACTTCTAGTCCTGAGGTTGTTAAGCTGGACTGGCCTGTGATGTTAGTCATATGCCTAACATGGATCATCGTAAGTGGTTGGGGAACAACTTCAAATTTGTTGATCTTGATGACTGGGTTGCATTTGTTATAGTTGGTTCAAAGTGTTCTTCTATGCTTGATATATTAAATTTGAGAAGATATGGATTGGTGACTGCATTTTGTTTGATGAGTGCTCCCCTATCCCAACTTCTCAGTAGCATTCTCACAGGAACTTGAATTCATTTTAGTGCGAGTGAAGCTCTGTACTTCTCATCAGAATGCCTATAGTAGTGGCAACAACTACAGACAATTTCTTGGCTAGCTTCTTGTAGTTATTCAGTTAGGGCTATGCTGTTCAAATTTTGCTTGCAATGCTGTCTACCATGACAAGCTCCACATCATGACTGATTATGGAAGCTTTTTTTTTTTCTTTTTTATTTAATTTTTTTTAACCTGGAACTTGTACTCTTCTTTTGAGCATATTTTTAAAATGATATTATGCTCGGAATTGCTACTGCCTTGGGCTATTTTCTTCCTTTAATGTATTATGATTCATGTATGTATTTGCAGTAGTAAATAATCTGAGTTTCTAATAGACAATATTAACTGCAGGATGCCAATCATTGATAAATTCAAGGACCTGGGAACTGTTGTCATGGGAAAAGTAGAATCTGGCTCTATACGGGAGGGTGATTCCTTAATCGTCATGCCCAACAAGGTTTAATTTTGACAATTGTATCATATTAAGTACTTAACAAAAGGCTGATGATATCGTTTGATTAATTGAGATTTGGTCTGCAGGTTAATGTGAAAGTTGTTGCCATATATATTGATGATGATAAGGTCAAACGTGCAGACCCTGGTGAAAATCTGCGGGTTAGACTGTCTGGAATTGAAGAAGAAGATATATTATCAGGCTTTGTCTTGTCAAGCATTTGTAAGTTAATCATGGCTCTTGGGCTCTGTGAATATACTCTTCTTTCCTGACAACTTTCATTTAATTTTGTTTTGAATTGGATGTTTTTTTTAAAGAAATTTGATTTACTTCCATACTTTGCTGATGCTGAATCATTAGATATGCTTTCTTATGTAACTTCTTTTATCCCCTGCACAATCTATATGAAGTTTCCCAGCTCCCGTGAAAACAAATTAAATGATCAGAAGTTTCTTATATTTGTAACACGAACATTAATATATAATAGATGACTATTAAATGTTTTGGGTGGAATGTATAGACATTCAGTTTTTAACTAGGTTAAAATCCCGTGCAATGCACGGTTGTTAAATATTTTTGACAATAATATTACAAACTATAAAGTATATAAAAGGTATTCAGAAAGATTTTATTTGGGTATATATGGAATATGATTGTTAAATTGGAAAGAAAATATCATAAGGTATAAATAATTTACAAAAAAAGCGAAAAAGGTGGGAAAATTTTTCACAAGGTAATGACAAGTGTCATGGAAGGATTTGCTTTTAGTATAGGTTAATAGATTTCCCAAGAAACCCGGCATATGACAGGCCCTTATAAAGGCTGTGTTTCGCTGGAAAATAGTTCTAATTATTAGTTGCCATGTCTGCTCTTGAAGTATGTGACTATGGATGACAGAGGATAGTTTTGAATTTCCTTAAGTGCCTGTAAATTTTGTTTATGGTTGTTACAATCTATGAAGAATATGATTATTTTCTATGTTTAGAAACTAACCCACTGGTATCATTTGGTGTGTCATAAGATGACTCATCCACACTTTACAATTTTTCTCCTTCTAAAACCCCTAGTTGTGTTGTGTTTTTTTTTTTTTTTTTTTTCTTTCAGTTTTTGAATATTTTAATCTTTTTTATAGCAATTTGATTTGTGACAAGTGTTACATAGCTTGACATTGGGAAATTGGGATGGTTTCTGACAACCATAACTTGTGTGAGAGTAACCCATTGTAATTGCGTACCCATATAGTGATTTGGGATGTGGATCTTTTGTTTTCCAGCGGTATCAACTAATTGTACTGTATGATGGGCTTAGGTGTATTAAAGGATAAATGTACTTGCAATTGGGAGAGTGCTTATTATGGGAGGCGGTTTTGGTGTTGGGTTGTGGCTTTAGAGGATGTATGAGTGAATTCGCTCTTAGTTGGAGTTTATATGGGCCATGGTTCAAGAGATTTTGTCATAAAATGGAACAGTTTCCCAAAGTGCACTTTAGTGAGGGAAAAATGAAGTTGAAAAGGTTATGATGCATATCTGTTAATGAGGAGGCATGCTGTTTTAATTTGTTTTTAGGATGATTTCTTATACTTAGAGATTTATTTCTCTGTTAAAGTGGTTGATGATGATTTGCTCTTTCTTTTTTGTTGTACCTCTGTGCAGCGAAGCCAATTCCAGCTGTAAATGAGTTTGTTGCTCAGTTAAGGATCCTTGAGTTGCTTGATAATGTACGTGAGAAGTTATCATCTTCTTTCTTTCTTTTTTTCTTGTTTTTTTTATTTATTTATTTATTTTATTTTATGAATGCATGGTTTTTTTTGGGGGACTAATTGTTGTTGCTTTTGTAGGCAATTTTTACCGCTGGCTACAAGGCAGTCTTGCATGTTCATTCAGTTGTTGAAGAATGCGAGATTGTAGAGCTGCTGCGGCAGATTGATTTAAAAACTGGGAAACCAATGAAGAAGAAAGTTCTTTTTGTGAAGAATAATGCTGTTGTTGACTGTCGTATTCAGGTTTGCCTTTTCTTGGAGATATATTTTTCCCCTCCCCGCTGTGTGTGCTCATATGGGTGTTTACCTCACTCCGGCTGTTATTATTATTAGTGTATATTACTTGCATCGTTGTTATTCAGTGTCTGGTTTCTTCTTGATACACAGTGATGTATTTGTTTATACATATGTTATTTATGCGACATTAGTTAACTGCCAGATATACACTTCCCCCTTGCCTGCATTAACAGCCATTGAGTCATAACAGTTTCGAAGTATGGATATTATGTTAAATATTTGTTTCAATTTAAGTAAAATGTCAGCTACTGTCCTGTGCCCCATAAAAATTTCTTCTTCTTGTTTTGGCTGTCACTTAGGGATACAAACTTACAAAGTGTTTCACCTGTTCAGCCAACTGTATTGACCTGTGGAATTGATGCTAACTTGTCAAATTTATTTTGTTTGTAGCTAAACAATTCAATATGTGTGGAGAAGTTTTCTGATTTCCCACAGCTTGGAAGGTTTACCCTTCGAACTGAAGGTGATGATTTTTTCTGTATTGTTGATGATCTTTTGATAGTACTGCTTGTTTTGCATATTTAATTTTTTTTTTCATCTACTCTCAGGGAAAACGGTCGCTGTGGGGAAAATCATCAATCTTCCTTCTATCGGCAGCAGTGCCTGACCAATTTTGCTGCCACAGGTAAAGTGAATCTGTGGATGCACTAAACATGTTGGAGCACTTCAAAGCTGTATACTTTATAACTGTTAGTCTAATAATGGATAACCTATTTTGCTTGATGATATCAATTAGCTAATTGTAGGCTGCTTGGACTTCTCATTATTGAAATATTTAGCTGCCTGTAGCTTTGTAAACGAAAGACACTAGGCGGCTGGATTTTGCATTGACCTTTTGAGGTGTCGATGTGTCAATTCATTTCGCCAATCTTTTTTTTTTTTTTTTTTAAATAACCTTAGCTTAAGCTTCCAAGCTTAAATTTCAACCTATCTGTTGCCATTATATTGGAACAGTCTTTAGTTTTCTATGGAGTATATTCCAAGTGAGATTCTATTCGTTTTTCTCAGTGTGAAAAAATAGTAATATTAAAGGTTCAAATTCTCTTCCGGTCGCATAGTCTTACACTTCTCAGGCTCTTTTCTTCTCATTGAAATTTCAAACTTGCCTCTTATTCTCTCCTACACTCTGCTCTATGTAAATAGTAAATTGGCAAATTGTCAACAGTAATTGGTATAATATAGTTTATCTGTTAATGCAAACATAATTTGCAAGTGTCATTGATCTGGTTTTGACTTGTTTTGTTGGTTACTTGACATTTGTCCAGGTGGGGCCCTCTGTCCTCTGTGAGGCACTGTGTCACGCAAGGACAAAGATGGCTAGATGTTCAAAGCAATAATCACTGAAGCATGTATGTTTATGCATTTTTCAATTTTAGTTTTACTCATTAAGTATGATGTTAAGTTATTACTCCCTTTGTCCCAGACTCCCAGTTGAGTTTGTCTATTTATCAAGGCATTTAGTTTTAGGTGGATTTTGTGAGTGGTTAACAATTTCTATCTGAATAAAAAGGTAGATGTGCGGGAAAATAGTGGAGTGTTTTCTTTATCGAATGAGGCCATGAGGGGGAGTGTGACTTTAACTTTCAGTGGTTTTTTTTTTTTAATACGAGTACCATTTTTAAAGCTAGCATAATTTGAAATCCTAATCCACCAGACCAGAAAGCTGTCTTCAGAGTTGCAAACAGTAGGTGTGCCACCTGTCACTATAATGAAAATCAGGGAGAGGGGAGTAATGAGTGTGAGATTTTCCTTGAAGGCAAGAGTCAATGTGAAGTTATTTAGTACTCCTTCCATTCCATGACTTAGCATGGTTATGTGTTTCAGCTTCTGAAGTTTGGCATATGGAAATGAAATAAAACCACCCTGAAAGTGAAACGTTTGGGACTTAACCTCGGGGCTGCCTCGCCCTAGCTGAAAGTGAAACGTTTGGGACTTTTTAGCATGGTTGTGTTTCAGATTTTCCTCGAAGGCATGAGTCAATGTGGAGTTGTTTAGTACTCCTTCCATTCCATGACTTTTTAGCATGGTTATGTGTTTCAGCTTCTGAAGTTCTATTTTGGCATATGGAAATGAAATAAAACCACCCTGAAAGTGAAACGTTTGGGACTTAACCTCGGGGCTGCCTCGCCCTAGCTGCTGCTCACCAATATCTTTAATTTGCTCCTAATTATCTGCTCTTGCTATGAACCCCCATTGCCTGTGCACACACACCTCCCTGGAGCTTTTTTGTCAAACGCTTTGCTGCAGTTCTGTTCGGTCTTGGTCTATAGGATTTGATTTATGTTTTTGGGGCTAGATAAACTGATAAGTTAATGTTGACATGGCAAAGTTGGGATGGGATTGGTCTTAATTGGTGTATCCTTCTGGCTTTGGGCCTTTCGCCTGGCTGTAGACCTTAATACTAGAAACATAATCTGTTTTTCTTGGTGGTAAGAAAAATGTTTTCTTATTGTGTTACTTTTGAAATTTTATGAATCACAATGAATTCTAGTCATAATCTGTATTAAAATATTAACAATATGTCTTTTTTTTGGGACAACTGAATTGAAGTTAGATTGAACAGAACCCTTAAATAGACAAATAATTAAAATTGATGATAAGTTATGTGTAAAGTCTTATCTTCTCCCCTAATTTCTTTTTCTTATTTACAAGAAGGTTTAATTTGATTATTACATCTGCCAAATTAGCTTTTCTTCTTTAAAGGAATCATTTGTCGTTTGTTCTGTATGCGTTGGTGCTACGTGTCAATACCTATTTGGGTGAGCACACCGAGCAGCCGCGCATCATCTCTTCTAATCTCGATCTCCTTTCCTATCATTTCACTGGCCAACTTTTGGAACCATTGGTGTTGTAGGCATGTAAGCTTAGTCTTCAATTTTAGGGATCTTTCTGTCACAATTTACCTTTTCCACTTTGACGAATATGCCTGAAAAATTGACCTGTATGAAAATTATACTAGGGATTTTTAATTGTTTATATATTCTCCCGTGTGACCATATGACATACGAAGTATTTATATTTTTATTTGGATATTTTATTCTTGTTTGCTCATTATTGTCTTTGAGAAATATTTTTGGGTGTATTTTTTATTCTTCCTCCCTGTGAGTGCATTTGCTGGTTTCATTTGAAAAATGAGAATTAATTTTAACTGCTTTGGTTTCAGATTTAGCAGCCTCGAGGGTAGTATATTTTTGTTTGACGGGAAATCTGCACTTCATTGGGTGCGCATCACTGTATTTTGAGTGAATGTTCCGAATGGTGCAAATGAGGGTCTACACCAAGCATATGATGCAGTTGCATACTGGATTGAACACTAGTTGATTTTTATCAGATAATTTGTTAGGGTTGTGCTAATGTACTACTATTTTGCTGTTATGGTCAAGTGCTACTGCACAAACCTGCCTTTTGGATGTATAAAATGATTTCGCTGGTACTGGACTAGCCTACCAGTTATATTTTTGGTAATATATTTATGCTTCCTGTTTGTCTATTTATCCTGATGATATTATGCAGTTGGTTAGTTTGGTTTGGTGGCCAGAGTATTATGCAGTAACTTCTATTGGAATAGTTTCTCTACCCATTACCAATTTATCAAGTGCAACCCTGTAAAAACATTCTCCAAGATCAATCTGTAAGAGTAAATTTCCAGCTCTACTAATTCTTCTTATTTTCCTAGATAATTCTCTACCAATTCTCTGCCAACTATTCGTGTGATAACATTTAGTAAAAGTAGCGAAGTTCAATAAAAATCAGATGATGTTTTTTGCAACTTCTCTAAAAAATACTAATGGTGAAATTAAAGATTAGGAAGAAAAAAAAGTACGGAGTATGTTTCATCAAACGATTTTATTTCGTTAAGGTGGTACCAATGGTATAACCGTATAAAATTATACTATGACATGGAGAAATGGAAAAATTGTATATCGTAGCACTCCAATCATTGAATCATAGTATAGTTTTATGCCACTTCATGCCTTCATGGTATATACCACTTTGATAGTGCTTTACTCACTTGGATTTCACTTATCTTGTGCTTCGTATTATCTTAACTTATTAGTCAAGAATATCTCAAGTGGTTAGAGTTCCCCTCCCGATTACAGATAATTCGGGATCGATTCTCATCACTCGCCTTTGTGGCTCATTGTACGAAGTATTATAACTCTTATTCTTATAAGTACTTCGTATTATCTTATCTTGTGCATGCCCTTATGAGCTTAAGGATGTTTTATGAATGGAGGAACTATGTACTAGTATAACATCTACGTTGTTATGTGCCTTATATCCCGAAAATACCAAATACTACTAACCAATTAATTGGGCCATCATATGATTCCCATAGAATATTCAATTATTCATTAGCCCACTTTCAAATTCCTTCATCCATCCAATATTTGGTTGTCGGGCGTCGGCGCCTCACCTTTCCCACGTGCCTTCAACTACGTCATCCCAACCAATTAAACCATAAACAATTTCCATATAAATAAAACTAAATAAATAAAATTACTTTAATAAAAAAAAAAAAGCTGAAGTGGACAAAGAGATGCCACCAATCTTCCAACATCAACAACAAATCACCTCTTTCATCCTCCATTAATTTCCCCAAACTTCCTTCCGTCGTACCAACCACCGTACACGGAGGAGAGAGAAAATTCTCCGATCAAATCAATCGATCCAATCAATAGTTAACAATCGAATAATTATTATTATTAATTCAGCAATTCAATTCGAATTTCTCATTGATCGATTGATTGTTCAACAATGGCGTTAAACATGAAAACCCTAACACAAGCATTAGCGAAAACAGCAGCAGTAATCGAGAAAACAGTTTCAACAACCGTACAAGAAGTTACAGGTCCAAAACCCTTACAAGATTACGAATTAGTCGATCCGATTGGATCAGCGGGTCCTGCTCTTGCTTGGAAATTGTACTCTGCCAAACCTAGTGGATCTTCTACTGTTGGGTCGCAGTATTCCGCGTTTGTGTTTGGTTGCTTGATAAAAGGGCGCTTACTGAGGCTCGAACCCGGGCTGGCTTGTCGAAGGCGGCCGAGGATTCGTTTTTGGATGTTTTGAGGAATGATGCGGGGAGGTTGGTTAGAATTCGGCATCCTGGCGTTGTGCATGTGGTGCAGGCGCTTGATGAGACTAAGAATGCAATGGCATTTGTGACTGAGCCGCTTTTTGCTTCTGTTGCTAATGTTCTTGGGGATTTGCATAATGTTGGGAATGTTTCTAAGGAGCTTAAGAGTGCTATGGTATGGTAAAGGTTTTTAATTTATTAATGTGAATTAATGTTTTTTTATTTTTATTTTTTATTGTTGGGAGTTGAATTGTGATTTAATTTTTGGTTTTTTGATGTAGTTTTTGTACATGTTTGTTTGGGAATTGTGTAGGAGATGGGGTTGCTGGAAGTCAAACATGGGTTGCTTCAAGTTGCGGAATCGTTGGATTTTCTTCATAATAATGCCCGTCTTGTTCACAGAGCGATTTCTCCTGAGGTTGGTTACCCTTATGATCAACTTTCTTTTGTGTTCCACGATGATTATATTTGTGATGATCAATTGCAATGTGTAACTAGTATGTTGCCATATCGATTACTTTGATGAAGTAACAGTTATGTTTGTTTATGTCATTGTGTGTTGCACAAGGGGTTTGCTGATTGTTGAAGTAGTGGAATTTTTTTTATGGAGTGATTAGTGATTGTAAGAAAATTGAGATGACCACCTTCAAGAAGCAACGAATGTTGTGTTAGTTTTTGTTTTAAATTAGTTGTTGAACAAGTAGGAAATACATTTCCTAGTGACTTGCAATTGTGAGATTTACCTAAATGGTTGAACACCAGAAGACACAATTTTTGTTACCTGTTATTGTAGCTGATGGATAGAGAGAATCAAGATGTTCACTCTGAGAAGAAAATTTAATATCTTGTGTGAGTGGATTGTTTTTTTCTCAGTATTATATTAGGGGTTTCATAATTACTATATCATCCTTCTGATGCACTGATTTTCTCTTACCATAACCATGTCCCTTAAATTCACCTATAATAGCTAGGGATGTCTTTGGTTTGATATATATATTAGAAACAATTCTGAACTATGTATGACATGAATGGGTAGTTTTTGAATCAGTCAAGAGACCTTTTTGTTAGCTTTTATGTCATATGCTTTGTGTGTGGTATGATTGAAAAGTCGTATGTTTTCCATTCTGAACTTGTGAAACTCCTATAGTCCTATGGCTTTAGCACATTGATTTAAGGTTGTGGAGAGAGTGTGGTTTGGCTTCCATCTTGATGCCGTCTCAGCATCTGCATTTTTTTACGTTGCTTCTGGCTTTAAGTAGGAAAAATTTATGTCTTCCACATGTTTGGCGTTTTTGGTGGATGAAACTAAAGATGGGGTTAATGCCAAATTGGAGCAATGGAGACTAAGGTTGGAAATAAGAGGTTTAAGCTAAGTCGGAGTAAGGCTAAATATTTGGTATATCGCTTTGGTACACAGTGGGGGACAGGTGATAATGTAGTGAATTTGGACAGACATGATTTGATCATGAGTGAGTGTTTTAAATATCTTGGGTTGATAATCCAAACATTTAGATGTGACCCACAAGATTAAGTCGGGGTGGCTTAAATGGAGAGCGGCCATGGGAGTGTTATGTGACCCAAGCATTACTTTACAATTAAAGGGGAAATTTTATAGGACTGCCATAAGACCACTGTTGCTTTATGGCACAAAATGTTAAGCTTCTAAGAAGGAGCACATTAAAAAGATGAAAGTTACGGAAATGCGAATGTTAAGATGGATTTGCAGGAACACTCTAAGAGATAAAATTAGAAATGAAGTTATTCGTAAGTATGTGAGTGGTGCAGGCATTGTAGAGAAACTAAGGGAAATTTGCCTGGGTTGGTTCGGGCATGTAAAACGAAGACCCCAAGGTACTCTGGTACGAAGAGTGGAAGAGTGAGTTTATGGAGAGCTTAAACAAAGTAGAGGGAGACCGAAAATAACTTGGTTGGGACTTGGAAGGAGTTAGGAAGGATATGAAGCAAATGGTTTTCCATGAGGATGAGGTATTTGATCGTAGGGGATGGAGGGAGGAAGATTTTTGTGGATGAATATACGAAATAATCACTTTTGATTCATGTAGCCGACCCCACTCATGGGATTAAGGCTTTGATTGACATGTATAGCGTTTCTGTTCTGCATAAATGATAGAACATTTTGGAGTAGGGTTCCCGTTGGGTTGTTTTGTCAGATTGAGTTGTGTTCGTGTGCATTTGTCCTGATGTTTTTTTTCCTTAGTGGATATTCTGCAAATTACATCGTTTGATCTTTTTTTTGATTGACACCCGTCTAATTTCTATAGGACTCCTCATCTCTTCTACCTGTCATGTTAATTTCTCTGTTCATTTGGAGTTCATTTCACATATACTGATATCTGGAAAAGGTTATTCTAAAATATGGATAGTTTATGATTGAGTTCCTTGGATGCCGTCAGATACGTCAGATTACATTCCAGGCCTTTTAGTGAAATACACGTAAGGTCAAATTATTATAGGAGATCAAAACTTGTTGCAATAAGTTATGGAATTTTTGTTTCCTTTTTTTTAGATGAAAGAGTTATCTATACTAATATTTAATAACAGGAAAGCTTAAAGGAAATGTAGAGTGCCACGTGTCATTTTTGTTTTTAAATTTTTACAATTTTTTTAAATATATGCCTTTTCATCCTAATGTCCAGTTTATTCCCAAATGACGCTTCATTCCTCTTAAATTCTTACCAAACAATTAGTTTATTCTTTCATAGGTCATACATACAAAAACTAACTTTTATGCGATGATTCATATGAAAACTAACTTTTTATTCCCAAATGATTCAATCCAAGCTCAATCTAAATATGCAATATAACAAGATAAACAACCCTTAAATAGGAAAAAAAAAAAAAATTGATTGAAAATTATAAACGTATATTTTCATTTAAATTAAATATTAGAGCAATCCAGATATACAGTAAAATAATTCTTTAATAACAAAAAAAAAAAAAAAAGACATTTTATCAACAAATTTGACCCGTGCATGGCACGGGCTAAATACTAGTTATCTTATCAACTTGTATCATTTTCTAAAGCTGTTTACTGTTGCAGAGTGTCTTAATTACTGCTAGTGGAGCCTGGAAGCTTGGTGGTTTTGGTTTTGCAGTTTCCACTGATCAGGCATCTGGAGCTTCATTAAGTGCGCAGGCATTCCACTATGCTGTAAGTTATTCTTTTGCGTCTATTGACGTGTTGGAATCTAAACATTTTTCCTTGAAAGATCACAGATGTAATATCTTTGGCTACATTTTTTTGGCTGTGCCTACCCCATTTTGTGCTATGAACACTTATCAATGGGTTGATTTGCAGGAATATGACGAGGAGGATTCTATACTTCCGCTCCAACCCTCTCTTAACTATACTGCCCCTGAGCTGGTTCGCAGTAAAGAATCTTCAGGTGGTTGTTCGTCAGATATATTCAGTTTTGGATGCCTTGCCTATCACTTGATTGCTCGTAAGCCTTTATTGGACTGCCACAACAATGTCAAGATGGTATCTCATTAAATTGTAACTTGAGATATGAAATATTGATGTTGTTTTTTTATTTTTGTGTGTGTGTGTGTGTGTTCTGACTCTTTTTATGACCAGCAAGGTTATAATTTTGTATGCATTCATTGATGGATTAATCTTGTAAAGTAGTTTAAGAGTCATCCCCTACTATATCTCAAATTGCTCTGTACCTTTGTTGGATAGTTCCCTTTAATTTATACTTCATACTTTTTGAATAGGGGATGGAGTTAGGAAGGTGTAGGAGCTGATAAAAGAGAATAAAAGCAAGAACCAAGAATTTTACTTACAATCTTAAATTTTGTTGTTGCTTTTCTTCTGTCTTCGCCTGAAGCTCTGAAACATCTGTTATTGAGGAGTACCTGTTTTTGCCCTTATAGATTTGAATTTATTCGACCAGTTTTTTCTTTACATATACTAAAAGGTTTAAGGTTTTTTCCATATTGTTCACCTGTGTCATATAGATGTTTTAGACATTTGGGCAGATAATTCGATCAAAGATGCCCTCTGATGGATCTTTATATAGACCACTTCTTAATTAATCTATTTATTTTAGTTATTTCTTCTCAGGCCATTTTTCCTGTGTATTGGAATTGCTTTGATCAATGATGTTTAGTATGTCTATCATTCTGAATAGTCGTTCTTTTTTGACAGTACATGAATACGCTGAACTATTTAACCAGTGAAACATTCTCATCCATCCCAGCAGAGTTGGTTCCTGACCTACAAAGGATGCTTTCATCCAATGAGTCTATGAGACCTTCGGCTATGGGTTTTACAGGTACTGGGTGTACTCCTTTTATTGGATTATTAGTCCTGGTATATGCTTTCTTTTTCTTTTCTTCTTCTTTTTTTTTAATTTTTATTATTATTATTATTTTTTTTTTTTTTTTTTTTTTTTTTTTGGCTCCTTAACTGCTTGCACAAAGATTCTACTCCTTGCTTTTCTTTTTACGAGGTATATTAGCCAAAAATTTGTTGCAAAGCACAAGTCAGTCTACATTACCACAACATATTAATATTTGTTGTTCCTTTTTAGGATGTCCATAAAAGGTGTTAAAAAATCGTTCTGTTACTTTAATTAGAATTACTTGCCTCATGTGAATTGGACCCCTCCCCTAACTCTCTTTCTTACACATTCTTAACCTATCCTACTAAATTCCTTGATATGCATGCCAAAGCTTAACAGGAAGATTTTTCATGGATGGAGGGAGTAGCTGAAAACTAGTATCTCTATAGTTTTGCTTTTCTACGTATTTCAAAAGTTTTACTCTTCCATTGATTTTCGGTAGTCAAGTGAATTTTATCTGTCAGGCTTTGTCAAAGACATGAATTTAAATAATAGGCTTCCCATTATATGCAATAATGATATGTCCTTAGCTCTCATAATTTGTCGAAGACCAAAATTAGATTCATTTTTCTGTTTGGGGCAGGACTCTTGCATAAGTTCTCATTAAAGAGCTGTATATACTTGTAAGATAGTTGTATGCTTTATCCTTTTTTTTTTTTTACCTACCACTTCTCTGAAAGGATCTCTGTATGTCCAGTCCTAATATTGATATTCCCCTTGGCTACAGAAGATTGCACCATTCCTTTTTGTTTTTTCTGCACCATTCCACAACTTCCTCTCTACTTTATCTCCTACCCCTGTATGCGAAGTGAAAAAATGTTGATTTTGTTTCTTGTAGTTAAAATGTTGATTTTGTTTGAAGTGTCATGATGAGTGGCTGCTCCATATTGTCATAGTGGTATTGTTATTGTGAATTAATGGAAGTTATTTATCTTTCAAATCTATTGGAGGTTCATCTTTCTTTCGAGATGATACAAGACTGCGGGCGCTTCGCTTCTTAGACCACTTGCTTGTAAGAATCATCGGTTTTTCCCCTCAGCTTTGCAGGTTCACCTTAATTGCCTTAATAAGATTTTTGATTAAAAACAAAAAAAATGGTGCGTTTTGCAGGAGCGAGATAACATGCAGAAGACTGAGTTTTTGAAAGCATTGTCGGATATGTGGAAGGACTTTGACTCAAGAGTGTTGCAGTATAAGGTCTGACTTTCTTTACTGCTGCATTTAAGCTTTTTAGATTTCACATATTGCTGACATCCAGCTGACTTTCCCATGCTATGCAAATCCCTTGGAATCTGATATACCTTTTTACTCTGCTCCGTGCAGGTTCTTCCGCCTCTTTGCGCTGAACTTCGCAATGTCGTAATGCAACCAATGATATTGCCGATGGTCCTTATGATAGCTGAGTCTCAGGTACAGACATTATTGCTTGACTGGTTGGTTTTATCACAATGGATCTAGATTGTTGCCATTGTTTTGCCTTGTTTAGTATTATCAGTTCTGCAAGCTTTGAGCAAGTTTTGACCTTGTAATGCTATAATAATTATGTGATTGGTGTTGTGGTGGTGTCTGTATGGTGGATACCAGCGAGTATCTGAACTTTGAAGTGACTTTTGATGTATGCTTCTATCTTTATGGTTTTTCTTTGCTGATAATATTGTTGAGCAATGAAAGGATACTTATTTTCTATTACTGCTCTTCGCCATGTTTTCTAACTGGAATACCACACATATAATTATTTCAACTTTTATGCAGGACAAACAAGAATTTGGGCTATCAACCTTGCCAGCTCTTGTTCCAGTCTTAAGTTCTGCTTCTGGTGATACACTGTTGCTGCTTGTGAAGCATGCTGAACTGATTATAAACAAGGTGATACAGCTAGCCTAATTTATTTGTTGGTCCTTTTGCTTCCTTGTCCTGCTATCAAGATGCCTATGATTGGTAGTTTTCATATGCTCCTCGATATTCCTTGGCAAGTTATATGAAATTCTGTGCTTCTCTTTGAATCAAAGGGGGTACGGATGGGTTACTTTGGCCGAAAGCTACCCTGGTGTTACAAAGTTGAAGCATATGCCGTATAGTTAGCAATTGCCAGACTTTACTTTGTTGCACTTTAGTTGACAACTGTATGCTATCTCACAACAGATCTCCACCATAGCAGTGACTAGGGAAATAAAATTGCTACTGATTTTAATACTTTCTAGCATGCTGGTGGTTTTTAAGTATAGAATATGCAGTTTGGGAATTGGGAGTGGAATTCTGGATGGAGAGTTTTATGATTCCAAGTCTTGTGTAAGGCATATTAAAGTCGGGGGTACATTAGTTAAATATATGTCCATTAGTGGCAATTTTGGTCATATTGGCTGAGTGGCTTATTCCCTGCCCATTTGCTTACTTCCTGTCTATTTTGGTCAAATTGTGCATATAAACCCATTTATTTTTGAGGGCATTTTGGAAGTAAAAGTTGGAGTTGTTGGGGGGGAGTGGGAATGGGGAATTGTAATTGTTTTCCCCTAGTAATTTATTCTCATATGATTTGTGTGCTGCTTTAGATTGGAATAAGGACTATTTTTTATAGATTGGAATAAGCGGTCTTAAAGTTTATCGTTATTTGTATATTTATTTAAAAAAAAGGACTGGGGAGATTTAAAAGAAGAATTAGGCTAAGGCCCTGTTCTAATTCAATCGATTCTATTGGAATCTAATAACTTATTGAAACTGATTTTCTGTTGTTTATTTTCTAATGTACCAGATGTTACGAACCAAAACTGAATTTTACTGGTAAATAAAATTTATTTTTACTGATGGAACTTATTTTTATTGATTGAAACTTATTGTTACCGATTGAAAATTGTTATAACTGATTGCAATTTATTTTTATTGAGCCTTTTTTTTTTCTTATATAATAAATTAAGGTGAAGATTTTTAAGAGAGCAGGGCCTAATTTGTGAGGGCACCTTGTCCTCTTGCTGTATTCTTCGTTCTGAGCTGTAATAATTGTAAAAATTTAGCTCGTTTGTATCCTTGTTAATAGCATATTTCTCAAGGGGAGATAATGTCACTTGTGAGACTTTTTTATTTTTAATCCCCCTCTTGCTTTCTCCCTGTAATCTATTGTCTGCATCAGCAGCAGCAACCTCTAAATCCATCATACCATAACCCATGAACCGTCTACGGTGATGTGGTTGAAAATAATAGAGATGGAGTAGTTAATTTGGTAGTACCCAATTCCTGTCTAAACATTATTATCCTTTCTCTTATCTGGGTAACATAATGGTGGGTTATTCTCAATCCCATATACCTCTTTTCATGCACTCCTTATCCCATGAATAAAACTTTGGAGCAGTGATTTTGGAAATTCATTGCCAATCTTCTACCATGAATTTCTATGAATCCAACATCCCTTATTTATGTTTAATTCCTTGAAGCATATGTGAAGCTGATGTAAATTAAGATTTTGATAGTCAAATTGCCATTCCCGCAATTCTGTTCTCATGAAACAAGTGTCCCTTTCTAGCTTTTTGGGTGAAATAGCTCTTTGTACTTTGAATTAGGATGCAAAGTTGTGAAAGAGAGTATGCCATATCAGTATAATTGCGTTATCACAAGCAGTAATAATAACTTGGTGTAGCTCATGCATTTCAGAGCGTATTAGAATTCAGATTATAATACAAATTAGGTAGCACCCAAGCCATGCTTTGCTTTATTTTTAATTATTTTTTGGTCTTAAAATAAAGCTTATTTCAATGGATGTTTATTTATTTATTTATTATTCTTAATGCCCAATAAGACTCATGTTTACATCCCAAAGCAAGTCATTTCATTAATTTTGCTATGGTTAGGGGGTAACTTTCGGAGGGAAACCTGCTTTTGTGGCTTTGGATTTAGTATATTATATATTGATGGGTACTCTTTCTTTACAGTGCTTTTGTCTTACGTTTCAGTCTTTTAAAAGTACTCCCTTTCCCTTTACTGTTCGCGATAGGATTTGCACTAATTTGAAGGCTAGAGGTGAGACTCGTGTGTGTGAAATATTTGAGCTGGATAGTGGGGGGAATGTGGCATTCTTAAGATGAGAGTATAGCTTTATTTGAAATGGTGTCCATTAGGGTAATATGATGAGGGGGCATAATCAAAGTGCTTGTAACTAATGTAATTGTAGTAACTTAAGAATAGTGATTTACATGATGCTCTAATGAATTAGTAGTCATGCATTTCGGTGCCAAATCTCAAGGGTATCGGATCAGAAAGGATAAAGGGAGTATTACCCAGGAAGAGAAATGAGGAAGGACATGTTACATAGAGGAATTGTAGAACTTTTTACCTTCAGAATTGAAAAACATGGATGGAGTATACGTAGGATCATCTAGAAATAGGTTAGTTCAAAAACAAAAATTAAGAAGTCTTAGAGCCAAATCTTGTGCTAACAGCATAAGTTGGTGTGTATCTTTGCACAGTGTGATCTTAAGCTTTTAGGTGCTTGGATGTCATTCCCTGTTAAATGTCTTCTTTTACATTAAAGCAAGCATTATACATGCCTAGGATGTTTAGGAAATAGTGGTGTTTGTGGTATACTGGTATCATTGCTCTCTTTCATTTTATTTTTTTGGTCGTGGGGAGCATGTGACTTCTATTTTGCTAATTTAGGCCCTTATAAGTGAACTTAAGGGCCACATAGATCTGAATGCATTTATTGTGTGGATGATTATTGTTCAGTTAGGACTATTGAAGGCCTGGACGATGAAAATTGCGTACATGCCTGGGATTATGATTTATTTTTCCTGATGCTGTCTCGCTGTTATAAATGTCATCTGATTTTCGGCATTTACTTTAGTTATGTGCATTATTTATGTGCTTAGACTTTATGCCTGCTACTGACCTTTTTTTTTTTTTTTTTTTTTTCCAAAAATCATTCAGAGTAATCATGAAGATCTAGTCTCACGCGTTCTTCCCATGCTTGTTCGTGCTTATGATGACACTGATCCCCGCATACAAGAGGAAGTTCTGAAAAGGACACTTTCTCTGACAAAGCTTCTGGATCCTCAGGTTTGAGTCAAGTTTTTTTTTTTTTTTTTTTTTTTTTTTTTTTTTTTGGGAGATGATTTTAAATAGGAAAAGGTTAAAGATTAATATGAGAGGATAGGCATTTTGCTATGTGATAGATTTATTAACTTGTGGGGCACTTTCTATAATAGACTTTTATCTCCGGGATAAGTGGGCTAGTAGATTATTTTTCTGTATCCAAGAATTATATTGTATTTTGGTTGCTTAGCATACCTCTTATAATATTTTCCTGCTTCTCATCGGTGCAGTTAGTGAAGCAAGCAATAGTTACTCGTGTACATGGCCTGGCTCTCAAGACTACTGTTGCTGCTGTAAGTAACTTCATCTTCTCCTCTATATATGTGGTTTATCGTGTCAGTATCTTATTGTGCTTTAGATGTCATTAGTAGATGCTGGAGTGTCAAAAGATTGGCAGTATTTGAGTACTAATAAGATGACATGCTGTGGCAGCTAATAGGAGTATTAATTGTTGCTAATTGGCATATAGTGGAATGAAAAGATTAGCATGAAGTACACTGACTCTTTGATATGTGAACTTACTCCTAATTTTCTCATAGAAGACATCATATCGCTTAGAAGGGCACTGTAATAATTTGGAACTCCCGCTCAATGTCATTACACTTTCCGTATGTTACAGATTATTGGCTGTCTCTTGGACTTTGAACTCTGGCTATATTGACTGTACTTACTCATTGTTTTGGAAAATGATGCTAGTAACCCATGAAATCATCAATAGCACACTGACAAAATCGGTTTCTTATCCATCCTGCTGGGGACAATGAGGTCCTTCTTAGTGCCCTGAGACTTTTTATAATAATTTGCTTTAGGAAATGATCTATATAGTAGTTTTTTGTGGCAATAATTTCACTGAAACCAGTAGAGATTAAACATTGGCGTATGAATTTGTATGTAGTACAGCTTAGCTTGATAACCTCCAACATCCAATTGATGTGAGATATTTTGTTAAATTGTTTTCTCATGTCTCCAGCATCTGTTGTGATTTCACCTTTGGATTTTGTGCAGTTATATTTGCTAAATTTGTTTCTGATGGGCAGGTGAGAGTGAATGCTTTGCTATGCTTAGGGGAGTTGATTCACACGCTCGATAAAAATTCTGTCATAGAAATATTACAAACTATTCAACGTTGCACAGCTGTTGACCGTTCTCAGCCAACTCTTATGTGTACTCTTTCGGTTGCTAACTCTATCTTGAAACAGGTACAAAATCAGTATTATTGTCATTCTGAAGATGCTTTATGCTCACTAATAAATCCATATTAGAAGTTGGAACTAATTCTTATCTCTGGCTTCCTTCTGGCTATCTTCATTCTTTAGTATGGAACAGAGTTTGTGGCAGAACATGTTCTCCCTCTACTTACTCCTCTTCTAATCGCTCAGCAATTGAATGTCCAGCAGTTTGCAAAATATATGGCCTTTGTCAAGGACATTTTAAGGTAAATTTATTATGTGCTTCTTTAATGCATATTGCTATTTACACTTTATAGAGATGGCCAATGGAGGCAAAGATTGTCATTTGGTTATCTGGGATTGGTCTAATTACAGGAAAATAGAGGAGAAAAGAGGAGTATCTGTGTCTGACTCTGGCATTCATGAGGTTAAATCATCTCCTGCACTAGGATCTATGACGGCACCACCTAAAAAAATGAATGGAACACTGTCTGACACAGCTGTGAAGAAGGGGCAATCATGGGATGAAGACTGGCCTGTCACAAAGAAATCGGACACATCTAGCCAATTTCATCCAACAAATATATCATCTTCAATGAAGCCTGTTGATGAGAATTGTTTGACGAATGGTGTTTCCATGCAATCCCATTCATCCGTGTTACCTTCTGTTTCTGATTCACAACTGATGAATTCTTGCCCGTCTATTGATATTGAGTGGCCACCTCGTACAGCTGGTGTAACCTCTCTAACAAGTAATAATGAGATGCAAAATCAGGGATCATCTAATGCAGGTTTTGATGAAATTGACCCCTTTGCTGACTGGCCCCCTAGACCTACTGGTTCTGGAATTTCAAACAACGGAATTTCAGGACTATCCACTAACAAGCTTGCTTCCAGCTATAGCACAGGCTCTTCAAACAGCACAACTCCCCAGAACATCAATTTCTCAAGCTGGGCTTCTAGTACTCCAAGTTCTATTGAGCCATCAAAACAATATCAGGGAGTTTCAGGATTGAACGGGTTGGCTTTTGATAACGGGCTAGGATATGGGCAGCCATTAGGTGCTCTGAAACAAAATCATGGCAGTTCTAATTCAGGGAATTCGAAAGATCTTGGTTCCATTTTCTCATCTCCCAAAACTGACCATAATGCCCTTAGACTGGCTCCACCACCCTCCACTGCTGTTGGTAGAGGGAGGGGTAGAGGCAGAGGAGCTCATGGTCATTCTTCTGGCATGGCTACTGGTACACGTAAGCCAGCTTCTGAGCAGCCACCACTTATGGATTTGCTATAAAGGATTGTATCCATGGTTCGTATGTAATGAACAGGGTAATGTCAAAGATAACAAGTTGAGTATTAGTGATGTCGATGGGTATATATATGCCTGGATTTCAATTCAGTGCTTCGATGATGATTTTCGGACTCATACAGCTGGGACATTGTGCCAGCCAGGCAGCCATGGAATGATATATGCTTGTTGCTTCCTTTGTATCACTTGTAGAATTTTGTAACGAAAATCTTACATATTTATTTTGTGCCATTTGATTTCATTTTTCCCCTTTAGAATATTTTTTGGATGGCCAGCCTTTGTACACATAATGACGTTGCAACATCCTGAAATAGAAACATAGTGAGGATTTTTATTTTCTTTTTGTATAAGAGAATGTTAAATAGTCTTGTAGCAAACAAATAATGAGATTGTTACCACTTGGTTGAATGACACTACCTATTTTACTTATAATAGTAGTCAAATGCAAGTTTGGGCACTAGTCGCTAGATGCCGACCTTTCTCCTCTTGAATCTTAACACGTATACTCTTTGTTTCAGAATAATTGACACATTCAAATTTTACACACATGTCGATACACTAAATTGATCTTATTTTTATATAATTGAATATGAATAAAAATTATTATTATAAAAAAAAAAAATCTATATTATGATAATTTATATTAATACCTATCAAACAACATATCTTATGATATAAGAATTATTAACGATGTCTAAAAGAGATGATAATTTCCTAATATAACTTAGCATTTACCACCCTTAATAACAAAACTGCAAATAGTGATGCATGTAACAAACAAGTTAAGCACCATTTTAAGAAGATATTCCTAAAAGGTGGATTATTTTGTTATTTTTCCTATTCTTTATTATAACTTTATATGTAGTCAGCTTATACGTTAATGTTTATATATAAACTTCATATTAAAAATGACTATTACATTAATGATTCATCAAAATAAAAACATATCATTTGAAACTTTAGATTTAAAATGAGTAATTTTAGTACTCCTATGTTAACATAAGTATACTATTAATATATATTAAATACAAACTAAATATCACAATTAATCAAACAACCTTTTTTAATTGAATAAAGGTTTTATGGGAAAAATACAAGCTTATCTTCGTGATAAACAAATTGTGTTTATCATGAGGGTATAATTGTCAATTTATATACTTAAATCTGGGTAGCCTTGTCATTTCAACAATAAGGAAAGTTAACAGCGTTAACTTCGTGAAAAACGCCGTTAATGGTGGAAAACCTTCAATAGAAATTTTAGAAGCTTCAATGGAAAAAGTGGAACTCAAAATTAGCTTTAATGGAGGAGGATAACACCCTTACCCTTAGGGGTTCACCATGCCCTTAATTTCACCCTTTTTCATAGGGTTTTCGTTTAATTTGGCGGCAAAGCCGCCGGAGATGGTGGTGTTGGTGGAAGGGATGGAGATCGCGGAAGGAAAAGAAGATGGAGGAAGAAGGAGAAGTCAATTTCAATGGAGGAAGCAAGAGGATGAAGGAAGAAGAAGGAGAATGAAGGATGAAGTTGGGTAACGTCGTTAATTTTACAAGTTGAAGAAATGGACAGTTGGAAGCAACTCAGTCAAAGAAAGTATTATTTTAATCAATCTATACAATTTCCAAGACAAGATAAACATCTCAGGTTTATTATAAAGATAAGTTGGGACTCCCCGGTTTTATGAAACATTGCACGACATTTAATGTGCAATAATGAACGATTGATAATAGTAGCACCACATTATGGTTCATTATTACGAATACTACTTCTTTTGGCAAATATCTTGGCATTATTATCTCTCACAAACATTTGAGTCTTAAGGATTACTTTCCCTTACTTGATAAGACTTGTTCTAAAATAAAAAATTGGCAAGCTAAACTTTTAAATATGGCCGGCAGATGCACTCTCATTAAATCCGTTTTAAACTCTTACCCGATTATGCTATGCAAACTAACATTCTTCCTTGTAGTGTTCTCAAGGACCTTCAGAAAAATTGTAAACGGTTCCTTTGGAATCGTGTCAATCGTTCTAGATATATCCCGAGAACCAATTGGAATGTGATTTGTGATCCTATGGCCAAGGGTGGTCTGGGTATTAGGGATCTAAAGAGATGGAACCTTTCCTTTATGGCTAAATTGGGTTGGAAAATTCTAACTCAACCCCATAAATTATGGGTCCAAATTCTAACTAAGAAATATCTAAAATATTCGAATTTTATGGATTACAACGTTAAAATTTCGGACTCTACTATTTGGAAGGACATTCTTTCTGGAAGACCCTTGCTAAAGAAAGGATTCATTATTAATATTGGAAATGGGGATGACACCTCTCTTTGGTATCATCATTGGATAGGAGTATGTCCTATTTATCTCATTCCTAATATTAGAATTCCTGACTCCAAAGGTCATTGGCGTGTTTCTAACATAATAAGAAACAAGAAGTGGTACTTAGATGATGTTTCTCATATTATTCCTCCTTCCCTTTGTTCTTTAATTTTAGTATATCCTATTCCTTCCCTTGTTAATGTCTCTGACAGACCTAAATGGATTCTTGACAAATCTGGGAATTTTACTATCAAATCTGCTTACAACTCTTATAATACTACTTACAACCTCAACACCACTTTTCTGTCTAATTTTTCATGGAAGAACTTGTGGAAAATTAGGGTTCCTTTTAAATACAAAATGCTTCTTTGGAACCTAGTTAGAAACATTCTCCCGGTTGGTACCACCCTTCAAAAAAAAAATAATTTCCTTTAATCCGATGTGTATGAGATGTGAAGCCTCACATGAAAATTTTATCCATGTTTTTAGAGATGGCCCAAATTCTTCTGCTTTTTGTTCTTTGGTTTTCGAAACTTTAGCCCCAACTAATTTTGATTACTGCTCTTTTTTTAAACTCAACTCTATCGGATTGGCTTTCCTTTAACCTTAACTATGGTCACTCTTGGAAAATTATATTTGCTGTTGGTATTTGGCATTTATGGAGAACCAGAAACATGGCTATTTTTGAGAAAAAAATGATGTTTATAAAGTGTACCTTTAATAGATTTTGGGTAGATTACCATTACACTCTTAATTTACAACAGGCTAGCATGCAGTCCTCTTCAGTTTCTATTTCCAGAGTTTGGGCTCCTCCTCACACTTGCTACTTCAAGCTTAATACTGATGGCTCCTGGAAGGGTATTAATGATGCTGGAGGAGGTGGTGTGATAAGATGTGACAAAGGTCTGTGGCAGCTGGGTTTTGCTGCCAGGTACAATGCTATTTCGCCTGCTGCTGCTGAATTACTGGCAATAAAGGATGGCTTACTGGCTGCTTGGGCAAGAGACATCAAGCTTTTAGAACTGGAAACTGACGTAGTAGAGCTAAAAAGGATGCTGGAAGACCCAGATTCCTTCAAGGATCATGACTTAGGGAATATTATTCGTGATGTAGCCTCTCTCATAAGTAGAACCTGGAAGGTTTCTATCTTTCATGCAAGCAGAAATGTTAATCGTGTTGCTGACAAATTAGCTTCCATGGGAAGAAAAATTGTCAACCCAGGACAACCAGTTATGTATCTCTACCCCCCAGCTGAACTCTTTCAAGAGTATGCCTCTGATATCCCTGAGATGGTGGCAACCTAACGCTGTTCTTGCTCCTGCTATTGCGCTCCCTTTCTATTTTGATCTTTCAGTCTTGTATTTACAAGCTTTTGTGTATTGGCGCTTAGCTTTTTATTTTGCTTTAGTCTTTATTTCGGTTTGCTACTTGAAGCATCTATGGTGCTTGATCATCTTAAACATTATGATCTTGTATTTTGCTAATATGGCTGCTGCCATATTTATGTAATATATATGCTTTTCCCTTTTGTGTTAAAAAAGATAATAGTAGCACCACAAACCACTAAACCAAACACTGAATTACATGCAAATGCCTTAGTTGTTTCTCTTTTATTTTTAGCATATCAAGCCACCCTAATTGTATTACATATTATTTATCCGACTCAAATCATATTAATCCCCTCTAGATTTGAATCTTAAAGTTTTGGGTTTAAGATTAATATTTCATATCACAATTCAAGTAAATTTATTTATGTAACTATGATTAGATTTAAACGAATTTTCTCTATTTTGATTTATGATGTACAAAGTTATATATATGGCAGATCTATCGCATATAATATTCTGGTATGTCAAAAATGTTTAAGTAATATAATTGTAAACATGATCCTAATAAATAGTTAATAGAATATGCACTATTCCAGTGCATAATGGTTTAATTCTTTTTCTGATCTAATAAAAAAAATAAAAATAAAATAAAAAAAATTGTTTAGGCGAATTATTGAAACATTTACTCTTACCATAATCTTTAGTTTTGTACAAATTAATCCGGTTACTCAAGATTTTAAAATGTCCTCTTTAATTAATTAATGAAATTCAAGGGGCTTTTATGTTTGAGAAATCTATTTATGTATAAAATTTCAGGTTACATTCATAATCATAAACTAAGCGGTGGAGATATAATTAGTACATTATACTCCATCAGAATCGTGTTTAATCCTCAGGATGAGATCAATATCTATTAATAAAAATCAATGTTTAATTTTTAGGATGCTCTTATTTATAGGCCTCCTTGCTAAGTACCTATATTCTTCTAAAGTCTACTACTACATTATTCTAAAATCGAGCATTCTACGTACACACGAGCCTTCTAGAATTTGCATACAAAAATCTAGTACAAAGGTAAACAAGTTTACGGAATAACCCACACAAATACACAATGCTAGCATGGAAGACTTAGAGTCTTGTTCATGGGCTCGTGGCTAGATAGGCTATATTACAAATCAAAGATTCAATACGGATACGTATTCAAGAGTCGAACATTGTCACATATAGACATATTAAGCCAACATAACTAAAATTAACATGCGACTCCGTAAAACTCAAGGAGTTAATGCAGTGAGTGAAGAGAGGAAAAGCTCGATCATCGAGTTAGCTTTTACAGAGGAATTGAAGATTATTGTGCTTAAACATAAAGCTAGCTCGCTTGCTAGTAATTAACTATTTTGCTTAAAGCCTGACTTAGTGTTTCTACTTTTAATTCTTTATTTACTACGCATTTTTAGTTCCTTCACATGATTCTATATTTTCTAGATAGCCATGCACTATATCTTGGGTTGGTAATTTGGTGATCTTGCCCCTATTTCTTGGGCACTTGCCTAAAACTCCTAATAAGTTAGCTAAGTAGTGTATTTGGTGATCTATATAGAAATAGTAAGGGTCGATGTCTAGTCGTGGTCTTTCTCCTTATCATCACAAATAATTCTAGAAATTATATAAATAAATGAATGATATTTCATTGCGGGACAAAGTACAATTTGGATGTAACTTTTCAACTAGTTTTTATAGTTGTAAGCCTGTAATGAAGTCAAAACTTTACAAAAGTTA